GGAAGTACAAAGTGGTGGAGAGAAATAAAGGGTTGAAACTGAGCAGAGAGGAGGCAAGGTCTGCCTGAAAATCAAAACATCATAATTTGTGCATCAAAAGGTTGGATACGACCCAAATATTTAATTTCTGGTATCTGGTGATTAAAATAATTTGAACTATAAACTGTGTCCCTTTTAGTGGCTGAAAGGGAAAGCACTTTAGTGGAATCCCTCAAGTTTAGACAATAACTGTCTATCAGTACTTGGTAGTAAAATGACTGCCTAAATAAAAGCTGAGAGTGTATATTTTGGTTAAACAGTAATCCCAGACCGAAAAAAACTAATGACTATTGTCTGACATTTAAAACCAAGACAAGGGAGTTCAGCTAATGACAATCACACCCTCTTCTCAACCATTCGACATTTTTTTCTTGCATTGCGCGTGGACTCATTTATCCACGGCTCACGTTTAGCCCTGGGTTTCCTGAGCTGCAACGGGGCCACTGAGTCCATAACGGTGCTGCAGCATCGTCAGAAAAGGATTCTAGGTCGTTAGAAATCATATCAAATTCGCCACATAAACGGGGAGCAGTTAACGGGTTAACAATCCTAACCTGCCTGAAACGAGCAGGTGATTTTCGATTGTTGTCAGAGAGGGCTATGCTAAAAAGTACAGGCATATGATCTGAGAAAACAGTGTCACAAATATCAATGTCAGAAACAGACAGCCCAGATGTTAAAACAAGATCAAGAACATGTCCCTGCTCCTGAGTCGGTCCAAAAACATGTTGCACCAAATTACAAGAGTCCACAGTTCTCAAAAATTCATTCACCATGGGGTTATCAGGACAACACACGTGAATGTTGAAATCTCCCAAAATGAGCAGCTTATCAAAAGCAGGCAACACTTCAACTAAAAGTCCAGCAAACTCAGTTAAAAAATCTTTGTTGTATCGCGGGGGACGATAGAGTACCATACACAGCTTAGGATCATGCCTACCAAGTTCAAAGAAATGACATTCAAAACTGGGTAGTGGAAATCGCTGACATTTAAGAGTCTTTAAACACTGTAGCAGTCCCCCCCTCCATGTCCTGAGACACGTGAAGAATTAAAGTAGCAGCACCCAGGAGGTAACAATTCAGAAAAGATGCTAGACTCACTTTCCGGCGTTGTCCATACCTCCGTGATACAGAGAAAATCCAGACTACTTGATGTGAGGAAATCCTTGATAATAACTGTTGTTTGATAGAGACCTCGCGTTCACCAAACCAAACTTTACAGCAGCCGTCTTCCCCAAGTTGTCAGATGTCCTCAAAGCTCGAAGAACATACCGCAGATTGTTAAAATTAACACCAGGTTGCCGATGACGCAACGAATAAGGACCGCGCAGCCGATCCAAACAATCCGTGTCCACAACGGACACGAGCCAGGTGTCAGGGGGATTTGCAAGCCGCCGATGATCATGGGAGCAAAACGTGCCATTTACTGGAACCGGGAAAACTGCCCAACAGAGCTTCATTTTCGCCAGCTTTCCACTTCTCTTCCCCCTGCGGCGTTGCCTCCTCCTCCAGGGCGGCGGCGCAGGAACACGGCACAGGTACGGAGGAACTGAAGCTAGAAAATGGGGCAAAACTTTCTGCCCATCTTTATAAGATCCAGATATGGTTTTTGCAAAAATCTTGAGATCCAAGAGCTGTTGACGCTCATATATCAGCAGAGAGTTTGCATTGAAAATAAAAACAGATAAAAACAATTAAATCAAAAAGAGCTCTAACCCAAAACGGCAGGCCAAGCACACCGGCGCCATTTTGAGAGGGAGTAAAGGGACTGAATGGCCCTTAACAGAAAGCCACCCACCCCATACTCCTGGAGCGTCCCCCACACGGTGCCCCTGGGGACACGGTCATAAGCCTTCTCCTAATCCACAAAACACATGTGGATTAGTTGGGCAAACTCCCATGCCCCTCCATCACCCTTGCAAGGGTATAGAGCTGGTCCACAGTTCCACAGCCAGGACGAAAACCCCATTGCTCCTCCTCAATCTGAGATTCAACTATCGATCGGACCCTCCTCTCTAGTACCTTGGAGTAGACCTTTCCAGGGAGGCTGAGGAGTGTGATCCCCCTATAGTTGGAACACACCCTTAGGTCACCCTTTTTAAAGATGGGGACCACCACCCCGGTCTGCCACTCCACAGGAACAGCCTCTGATGACCACGCAATGTTGCAGAGACGTGTCAACCTCGACAGCCCTACAACATCCATAGCCTTGAGATACCCAGGACGAATCTCATCCGCGCCCGGGGCTCCGCCACTGTGTAGTTGTTTGACTACCTCAGCAACTTCTGCCCCCGAGATTGGACAGTCCATCCCCAGGTCTCCCGGCTCTGGTTCCCCCTCAGAATGCGCGTAGGTGGGATTGAGGAGCTCCTCAGAGTATTCGTTCCACCGTCCGACTATAGCCCCAGTTGACGTCAGCAGCTCCCCATGCCCACTGTAAACAGTGTGAGCGAGTTGCTGCCTTCCTCTCCTGAGGTGCCGGAAAGTTTGCCAGAACCTCTTTGGAGCCGATCGATAGTCTTTCTCCGTGGCCTCACCAAACTCCTCCCACGCCCGAGATTTTGCCTCAGAAACTGCCACTGCTGCACCCCGCTTGGCTATCCGGTACCTGTCTGCTGCCTCTGGAGAACCACAGACCAGCCTTGCCCTGTAGGCTTCCTTCTTCAGCCTGACGGCTCCCCGAACCTCTGGTGTCCACCAGCAGGGAAGGGGGTTGCCACCACGACTGGCCACGGCCACCTTGTGACCACAGCTAGCAACAGCCGCCTCAACAATCGCAGAGCGGAACAAAGCCCACTCAGAGTCAATGTCCCCCACTGCTCTCGGGACTCGGTCAAAGCTCTGCCGGAGGTGGGAGTTGAAGACCGTCTTGACAGATTCTTCTGCCAAGCATTCCCAGCAGACCCTCACTATGCATTCGGGTCTGCCAGGTCTACGAGGCATATTCCCCTGCCATCTGATCCAACTCACCACCAGGTGGTGATCAGTTGACAGCTCCGCTCCTCTCTTCCCTCGGGTGTCCAAAACATACAAGTTGCTATATCTCACGTAGCCTGTTATGATGTTTTCACCGAAAATGTTTCCATAAGAGGTGTTTAACTTATGTTCCTTAGGTTATTTCTACCTTAATTAGCACAAATATTACTCGATAAACAGGAGGGATATGTTGGGAGTTTTTATGTACCATTTATCTCGTAATATGTATGACCATGTATGTATCATATGGGCAAAGTCGGTGTTTATTGTGTTTTTCCTTCCAGTGTGGTGTATTTTTCGTGTGTATTCTTTTTACTTCGTTTTAGTGCATGGGATGCTTTTATTTTTGAGCACCCAGGAAACTGGGAGGATGTGTGATTTTATTTTGACAAGCTTGGACAGAAGACATCCGGACCGGGAGAATTATCTGCACCGGTGGAAGATTAGGAGCGTCCTCGGTGGAGACGGCGGCAGAAGCGGAGAGTCGCCGGGTGAAAGGACACCGATTGTCTGTAACGAGGCTTCATGGAGATGTGGGCAGGGTATTCCTCTGCCCTGGCGTATGAGTAGCGGCCTGTGACAAGGTGTGACCCGTGGCGTGCGATCGAGCAGTGACTGCCGTTAAAATTCACTGACAGGTGGACCCGCGACGGGGGAGGACGACGGCGTGGCACGGCCGAGCCAGTGACTGATCTGCAGGAGGAAACGGGCGATTGGGGGAAACGGCGGTGCGGCAGACACACGTCTTGAAGGAGGAGGCAAGCTATCGAGGGAAAAGGAAAACGGCGGCGTGGCGGACAAGCGTCCTGAAGGAGGAATCTGCCCTGCAGCGTCCAGATAAGGCTGCAGACTCTCACCGGGCCCAGTTCCGGCAACCGTTTTAGTGACTGGCCTAAGGCTTTTTAGTGATGTTTTAATTAGTAATTTCAATAAATCCTGGTTTGGTGGTCAACAGCTGATTCCTTTGATCTCTGGCAGTCGCTCTCAACTTTACCTGGTGTAACTCCACCTTGCCACATTTGGCATTGTTGGCAGGATCCATGTAGTACTGTCAAGTAGGTCCATGGATGTGAAGTTTGTGGCACTCTGCGCGGGAGCACGAGGATGTGCTTGTGGAAACAGTGGGGAAGATGTGACAGTGTGAGCATCCTGTCACAGTGTCCCGATTGATCATGCGCCCTGGCTACTTGGCCAAGGGGATGTCCCTTTGGCTGACTGGTTAGAGCGTATGACTCTCACCCGGGAGTCTGGGGATTGAATCCCGCCCGGGCCCTCGTTTCTCCACCTTGCCACATTTGGCGTTGTTGGCAGGATCCAGGCTTTGAGAGCGGCTGTTGGAGCCAAATAAATTAGCCATGATGATGCCTGTTTACCCAGGGGCCCCTTGGCCAACTAGCCAGGGCGCATGATCAATCGGGACACTGTGACGATGTGACATATGTATGTGATGTTTGTTCCTCAATCTGACGATTCATCCACATTCATGCGGACAATTCACCCACATTTACACACAGTCACCCGCAGTTTTGTGTCTGGAACATTATGTTTCAGTTCCAAGTTACGTTGCAGCTATCTTAACACAACATATCATTGTAATGTGTAACCCCACCCATGTGTTTCTGTGTTTGAAAAAAACGAGCCATGCAGGGGAGAACTTTGGAGTTGGGCACTAGAGTGGAGTCACGACTGTATGCTGTGTAACTTCTCCATTGCCCTCTCCCCTTTGCAAAGCTAAAAAAGACAACACTCATTTCCTTAAACATCTTTGGTGTGTTCTTACTGTGTTTAGTTTCTAATTCCATTTTTGGTTCTTTTTAAAACACAGGAAAGGTTTTTCTTTATCTTGCTAATGTACGTTTCGTTTGCCGACTGCAAAACATCCTCAAAGCTGACGCTGATGGTGGCGTCACTTCCTACTCTGAGGATGTTGTCGCCCTCTGCTGCCCAATCTCCCCTCTTAAATTTTGCAGTAACACCAAAGAAAATACCATATGATGAATTTATTGTAGCAACAGAACTAGCAAGTCAACAGATCACAGATGAGGGAAAGAAAGCAGAACTCGGAAATAACGTTGTTGGGATATTAAAGAGCAGCAAAATTCAAAACAGCAATATTACAAAAGAAGAACAATCAGCATGACAGCATTATCCAAAAACGAACTGAAAATTTTTCTACCGGCAGACAAAGGAAGAACTACAGTAGTTATGGACAAAGAAAAATATAAACAACAGATGAAACAGATGTTAGAGGTCAAAAATACATACAAAATACTTAAAAAAAGACCCAACAGAAAGCATTAAGAAAAACATGAAAAAGTAACTGAAGCCTCTACAAGAAAAAGGCAAAATAACAGAAAAAATGTACAAACACTGGATTCCCACAGCAAACATAATACCAAGAATCTATGGAACGCCAAAAATACACAAACAAAACACCCCACTTAGACCAATAGTAGACAGCACAGGTACACCAACATACAACATGGCAAAAGAAATCAGCAAAATCGTCAGCCCATTACTAGGTAACACAGATCAACAAAAATAGCACAGAACTGGCTAAAGAACTAAGAGATTACAATAGAAGACAACGACATACTCATCTCACATGACGTCACATCCCTGTTCACAAAAACACCAACCCAAAAAACCATAGACATAGCAGTTAACAGAATCCGACAGGACAAGACTTTACACAAAAGAACAAACCTCACAGCAGATGACACAGCACAACTGATAGGACTGGTAGCTAACTCCACTTTCTTCACATACGATAACAATATACAAACAACTGGAAGGCTTCGCCATGGGTAACCCGTTATCAGCCATCCTGTGCGAGTTTTTCATGGAAGACCTAGGGCAAAAAGCCATAGCCACCGCCCCCCCAAACTGCAAAATAAAACTATGGAAACGCTACGTAGACGACATATTGGAAATCATACCAAAAGGACAAACAGAAACACTAACACAACACTTAAATAACATTGACGACGACAGTCAAAAAAGTTCACGAGTCAGAAAAAGATGGAAGCATAGCATTTATGGACATGAAAATAACCAGGCAGACCGATGGGACCCTAAACATAAACACATACAGGAAACCAACAGACACAGACCAATATTTATTATGGACATCAGAACACCCCACCATACACAAAATGTCAGTAATCAGAACATTATATCACCGAGCAAACATGGTAACAGAAGAAAGAGACTGTAAACATGAGGACAAACACATACAACACGCTTTAAAGACCTGCGGATACCCGACATGGGCAATAAATAAAAGAAAACAACAAACAACAGAAAGAAAAAAACAACCTAAGCAAAGAACCAGAAACCCAGAAAGACAACAACCAAAACCAGTGATAACCTTACCATACATCAAAGGCATAACGGAAAAAATAAGAGCAACAATGAAAAAACACAACATAAACACACCAACAAAACCATACACAACAGTTAGAAACAGACTAGTACACCCAAAAGACAAGATATCAGCTGGACTTAAATGTGGAGTCGTTTACGAAATCCCATGCAAACTCTGCAATAAAACATACATAGGAGAACCCGGACGCCAACTCAACACACGAACAATAGAACATAGAAAGGAGTGAGAGAGGGAAACAAGTTTAAGACACACAAGAGCAGCAAAACAAGAAGCAGAAAGCACAATAAAGAAGTCAGCTGTAAATGATCACTGCACAAGAGAAAACCATATAATGGACTGGGACAACACAAGGATAATAAACACGGAACTACAGAAATACAAAAGATGGATAAAAGAAGCTATCGAGATAAGGAGACGTGGATGTGGGACCATGAACAGAGACGATGGGGTTTACTTATTGGAACATGCATGGGACTGCAGCATTGGAGAGGGGAAAGCGGGCATCAGAGGGCAACAACGTCCTCTGCTGCCCGCGGATAAACGGAGTAGGAAGTGACGCCACCATAAGCGTCAGCTCTGAGGATGTTTGCAGCCGCAAACGAAACGTACGTCAGCAAGGTAAAGAAAAACCGTTCCTGTGTTTTAAAAAGAACCAAAAATGGAACACTCAATTCTATGTGATATTACGTTAGGCAGGAAAAAACCCTAACACAGTCGGTAAAGACGGCTCTCCCTTGCCCTGCCTCCAACATGCCTACATCTAAAAGGCTAGGTTATCCAGAGTTATTTCTGTAGTTATGCTGCTACAGGCTGCTATCACCTCTGTCAGTGCGCCCCAGGGCAGCGGTGGCTACATCGTAGCTCATCACCATCAGTGTGCGAATGGATGAATGATACACTATAGTGTAAAGTGCTTTGGAGTCCTTAATCCGAGAGGTGCTATACAAGTGCGGGTCATTTATCATTTATGCTTAGACTGCTGGAGGACACACTGACCACTTTCCACACTCGACTACTTTCTTCTACAATCTGCTCTTTAACTGCATTATTTCCTGCTATGTCAGCTGTTAACTTTATTTTTTCTCCGTGTTTTTCTCCCCAGAAGAAGCTACAATGATGTTCTGCTGAGCTGTGGTGGCCTCATGGAGGGGGCCATTGGCTAGCACACTGCTGCTAACCACTTAAACATTCTCCCTCTCCTGATAATAACTTTTTACTCTCTTTGACACTGAATGTGCTACTACTAGTTTACCCGTTTAATTATAGATTCACTAGGACAAATACAATAAAGTTTATCTCTCACTAAATAGAATTTTTACTAAGAAATCACAATGTAGCCATACAAACACTACTTCATATATAAGTCGTGTAAGTGTGTGTTTAAAAACACTGACACACTGACAAACACTGAGCACAAAACAGATATAAACTCCATGTACTGTGACATAGTCACAGCGTTACTTCATGCAAGCCAGTGTTTCACTCAAAGCAGAAAGAAGTAAAATTATGCCTGGTTGGAATACATATGTGTCTCAAAGTCATGCTGACGCTCGTGAAGCCACTACTTCCTGGGACCTTGCAGGCAAACCCAGACATGGTCCTATATTTGAGCATAAAAAGCTGAAAAATGCAAAATACAAATATGCTATAAGATTCATTAAGAAGGAGGAGCAAAACATGAGGGCAGATTCCATGGCTAAGACAATCTCTTGCAAGGATAACAAAGTATTTTGGAAACAGATAAAAATGGTTAATAACTGTAAACCCTCACTCCCCTGTACGGTAATGATGAAGCGAAAAAGCTAAATTAAATTAAATTAAATTAAATTAAATTAAATTAAAAAGTACTTTATTAATCCCAGAGGGAAATTGATTGCTGTAGTAGCTCAGAATAATAATAATAATCAAGTCATCAAAGAGTTGTATATTACAATGGCTGTTGGCAGGAAGGATCTCCAGTAGCGGTCAGTGTTGCAGCGAAACTGAAGAAGCCTCTGACTGAAGACACTCTTCCGTTGTCAGACAGTCTTGTGAAGAGAATGCTCAGGGTTGTCCATCATTTTCTTGTTTCTCTGGAGAATCCTTCTTTGCATTATCTCCTCCAGTGGTTCCACAGTCGTCCCCAGAACAGAACCAGCTAGGGATGGGTACCGCATTCGGTACTTTTTAAGGTACCGACCGAATTCCATAGTACCGACCGTGCACCGATTCACGTCGTTTCAAACGGTGCCTCGTTTCGGTACCCGTCCTTCACAACGAGAACTTGCCAACACAGCTGCGCATGCGCAACAGCGTTATGTCGTCGGTCGCTGCGAGCGAGTTGTAAACAGCAGCATGGGTAGAAAGAACGCACGCTAAAGCTTGGGTCCACTTCACTAAATGTGATGGGTAACTGGGTGATGATGAAACCAGCGACAGACAACGATCTAAGTGAGACATCCTCATCTTAACCTGCTCCGGTAGGTAAATAAAATGTAAATAAAATGTTTAAGATAACGTTACCTTGATATGTTAGCTTCCGTTTCGCTAATGGTGCGTTCGCTTTCTCCTCGGAACTCCGAATTTCCGACTAGAACATGAACACGCTCTAAAGTTTGGCTTCACTTTACTAAATGCGACGGGTGATTGGGTGAAGGTGAAACCAGTGACAATGATCTAAGCGTGAGGCATCATCGTTTTAATCTGCTCCAGCAGCTAAATAAACTGTTTAAGATAACGTTAGCTTGGTATGTTAGCTTCCATTGCTACCATTGTTATCAGCTAATGGTGCATTCGCTTTCTCCTCGGAAATTCTAACTTCCCAGTAGGAAAAATTAAATGAAAAAAGACGGCAAAAGGAATGAAGATACGCAGTAAATGTAGTTCACAGTAAAGATGTTTGCTTCAGTTTAATTATCAGCTTATAAAACTACAAGGACGATGTTAAAATACAAACAGTTGTATGTTATTTATCGTGATATATATCAAATATTGTTATATATTGAGAAAAATATATATTTAATTATAAAAGAGAATTAAAATAATAAACACTCAAAAGTATTGAAAATTGGTACCGTTAAGTACCGTATCGATTCGTAGGTACCGGAAATTAGTACCGAATCGATTCAAATGTCAAAGGTACCCATCCTTAGAACCAGCCTTTGTTATTAGGCTGTTGAGCCTTTTCAGGTCCCTGCTTCTGATGCTACTACCCCAACAGACGATGGCTGAAGAGATCACACTCTCAACAACAGACTTGTAGAAGATCTGCAGCATCTTGCTACAGACATTGAAGGACCTAAGCGTCCTCAAGAAGTGCAGTCTGCTGTGTCCCTTCTTGTAAATGGTTTTGTTGTTCTTTCTCCAGTCCAGTCTGTTGTCCAGGTGAACTCCAAGGTATTTGTATTCCTCAACCATCTCCACTTCTTCTCCCATGATGGACACAGTGTTTGACTCCACCCTGTTTCTTCTGAAGTCTAAAATCATCTCCTTTGAATGTTCAATGTCAGATGATTGTTTCCACACCATGCCACAAAGCGCTCCACCAGCTCTCTGTACTCAGCTTCCTGTCCATCTCTGATACACCCGACAACTGCAGAGTCATCTGAGTATTTCTGTAGATGACAGGTCTCTGATTTGTACTGGAAGTCTGAGGTGTACAGGGTGAAAAGGAATGGTGAGAATACAGTCCCCTGTGGTGCTCCAATGTTACCGATCACCTGGTTTGATGTGCAATTCTTCTGCCTCACAAACTGTGGTCTGTTTGTCAGGTAGTCTTTAATCCAGGCGATAGCTGAGGCCCCCCACCTGTGTCTTCTGGAGTTTCTGGCAAAGTACATCAGGCTGGATTGTGTTAAATGCACTGGAGAAATCAAAGAACATGACCCTCACAGTGCTGCCTGCATTGTCCAGATGACAGTGGGTTGGTTGAAGCAGCTGGATGATGGCATCTTCAACTCCAACTCCATGGCAATAAGCAAACTGCAGCAGGTCCTGATATGTTCTAGTTTGCTTATTCAGGTGGACCAACAGGAGTCTCTCTAGGACCTTCATGATGTGGGATGTGAGGGCAACCGGTCTGTAGTCGTCATTGACTGATGGGCGAGTTTTCTTTGGAACTGGAACAAGGCAGGATGTCTTCCACAGGACTGGAACCTTCTCCTGGACCAAGCTGAGGTTGAAGAGGTGCTTCAGAATCCCACAGAGCTGCTCCTCACAGGCCTTCAGTACTCTGGGGCTGAACCCATCTGGACCTGCAGCCTTGTTCCTGTTCAGTCTCTCCAGCTGCCTCTTTACCTGACAGGCTAGGAGGATGCTGGATTTGTTCCAGAACTGAACCTATTGAAGAACTTGTTCAGTTCATTGGCTGTGTCCAGGCTGCCATCTGTGCAATCCTTCCTCTCCTTGAAGCCTGTGATCTTCTTCATCCCTGACCAAACATCTCTGATATTGTTCCTCTGTAGTTTGTTATCCAGCTTCTTCCTGTATGCCTCCGTGCTGTCTCTGATCTCGATCTTCAGTTGCTTCTGTATACTCCTCAATAATTCCCTGTCTCCCTCCTTGAACGCTCTTTTTTTCTCATTTAGCAGATTCTTCAGTTCACTGGTGATCCAAGGTTTGTCATTAGCGAAGCATCTCACTGTTCTGGTGGGTATGATGTTGTCCACACAGAAGTTTATATAGTCAGTGACACATCCAGTCATGGCATTGATGTCCTCTTCATACCCTTGGCAGAGAGTCATCCAATCTGTGGTCTCAAAACAACCCTGCAGGGCTTCTTCAGCGTCCTGTGACCATTTTCTCACAGTTCTTCTTGTCACGGGTTGCCTCTGAACAAGTGGTTTGTATTCTGGGCAGAGAAAAACAAGATCGTGATCTGATTGTCCCAGAGAAGGTCTTGTTTTGGACATGTATGCATTCAAATCCAATGTCTTGTTTTCTCTGGTGGAGCAGCTGACAAACTGTTGAAATGTTGGAAGTGTAGCAGAGTGAGGCATGATTAAAATCACCAGATATAGCCAAAATGCATTGGGGTGCTGGGTTTGTAGCTTAGCGACAACAGAACTGATGGCATCACATGCACTTTCAGCGATGGCTGAAGGTGGAATATAAACGGTTGCCAAGACAACACTGGTGAACTCTCTTGGCAAATAATATGGGCGACAACTTAGTGCCAAGAGTTCAATATCTGGGCTGCAGAGACGACATTTCACTGAAACATGACATGGATGGCACCATCTGTTGTTGACAAGCACTGCCACTCCACCTCCTTTTCTTTTCCCGCTCCTCTTCAGATCTCTTTCTGCTCATACAGTCAGGAATCCTGGCAGAGAGACGCTGGAATCGGGCATATGGTCCTGCAGCCACGTCTCAGTGAATCACATAACACTGCACTGCCAATACTCTAGCTGAGTCCCTGAAAGGGCTTGGAGTTCATCTATCTTGTTGGCCAGTGATCTCACATTGCCCATTATAATGGATGGAAGAGATGGTTTGAATTTCCTCTTTCTCTGTCTCCGTTTTGCTCCTGCTCTGCATCCACGCAGCCAATCATCTGCGACGTCATCGACAGGCGCAGGACCCAGAAGCCAGAAGGAAACATGGCGTCCCCCAAAGACACCAGCCCCACACTCTGTACTTCGGATCCCTTTTTTATAGTTAAATGTTACCAAGCTGCCAGTATTTTTCAACTGGAAATGATTTTATTCACTTGGAACAACATTGTGAGATATTTCCAGAGATTAATGGTAAAACTACACACTTCCACTGTTAGATGGAGCTAACGGAATAACAACAGATTAGAAGAATGACTGGGCTGGTCACAAAATGCCTTTTCCCACTTGGTGAAATATCCCATTAAATTAGTCTGAGCTTACATGGCCTGAAGACTGTCAGCCGTCAGAGTGTTCCACAGGATCTCATTGGCTGGAATATTGTCTGTTTCCTCCAGTAGAGTTGCATCAAACTCCACACTCGCCTCTGGAGTCTCAGGACACCTGGAATTAGCACAAACTGATAGTTACCTCGACAACCAGGCTGTTTCCACAGCAACCAGTGTTGGTCCAGACTGACCTGTAGGCCTCAATGAACTGTTGGTACTCTGCTAGAGGATCAATTTGCTGGACTGCCGCCGAGATCTCCTGGTGGACTTTAACCATCTCCTCTGTCAACAGACTGCTGATCTCACAGTACTCCTCCAGAATACTTTTGCTGTAAGAGTACACAGAAATACCTCAACTGAGTTTACAGAAGATTACATCAGAAGCAAGGCTTTTGGCTGTGGTCCAGTGATGCTGGTTTGGTGACCTATCACCTCAAATTTCTGACCTTCAGTGATTGACCCAGTTCAGTGACCTCCAGCTCTTTGACCACTGTTCAGCAACACCGGACTTTTGATCCTGATTTTGTTACCCAGAGCCAGCTCATGTGACACACCAGGGTATAAATGATAATGATAAATGACCCACACTTGCAGAGTCAGAGGACCCCAAAGCACTTTACACAACAATGTTTCATTCACACCCTGGTGATGAGCTACCATGTAGCCACAGCTGCCATGGGGCGCACTGACAGAGGCGAGGCTGCCGAGCACAGGCGCCACCGGTCCCTCTGACCACCACCACCAGCAGGTAAGATGGGTTAAGTGTCTTGCTCAAGGACACAACAGCAGAATTCTCTGTCCGGAGCTGGGATTGAACCTGCAAACTAACGATTACTGGACAACCTGCTCAAATTAAATTTAAGACTTTTTCAAGACTTTTTACGATCTACTAAAAATAAAATTAAGACTTTATCGCAAATAACTAATCAACTGTTAAACAGTTTTAAATACTGCATTCCTTTGTTTTCTACTTGATCAGATGGTGGGTTACGCCGCGTCCAGGACAGTGAGGCAGTGGCAATAATAAGGAAAGCCACGTGGTACAAAAAGCCAGACAGCTGGCCATAGAAGAACAATAACTATTAGTTTACATGCATCTGTTTTCCATACATGTGAAATGTTAAGACAACTAAAATTACTGGGAAACTTGTTTTGGGCCAACACTTGAACTACCCCCACCCCCAAATCAAAAAGAACACAAGCCTCGGGAAACATCGGTTGAGGCTGAAACTGAAAGGAGACAAACCTGCTAAAGAAAACTGGTATTTGGAGTGGATTTTGTTTCATTTTACAAACTTTTGTCTCCAACTGCAGAGAGATGTTGAAGAAACCGCAGTAGCATGCCGAGATACCGGCTAGCACAGCATGTTTTCGCGTAGCTGTCTCCATGACTGGTCAAACGACGACTCGTGACCCACTAACGAAGATGGTTTGTGAAGAGGATGAACACTCCTCTTTTTCTGAAACTGATTCTTATGAAGAACAACTGAAACCCGACCAAAGACTCACCTGTCCTAAATACAAAAATGCTTTGTTTCACGTCAACATTATATTTGGTTTCATAAACGGCGATTATCACCAAAAAGCATCAACTTGGCAAGTATGAGATGAACGTATTTTAAATTGAAGTCAGTACTAACCCAATGTTATACTTTACTAAATCGATTTAAGACTTTTTACAGACTTAAGGGTCTTCATTTTCTTTTAATCTAACTCAAGACTTTTAGAGACCACGCGAACACTCTGCTCACAGTGCCAGCGTCATGTCCTCCTGCATCCTCTGCAGAGCGTCAAGCAGCGCAGGCGCTGCGTGCCGTCGATGCTCATCCTGCTGAATTTGGGCACCACACACTGTCAGCACATACTGATTGTGAAGATTATGGAGCTTTGCTGTTGCTTTGTCGTAACGATCGCGAGCACGCTCAGCCTCCCGGCCTATAAGTGGATAGCACAGGAGAGGAAGTCAGCATGGCAAAACTAAAGCAGTCATCTGTGGCAAGGCAAACACAAACCTTTGGCCAGAGCCTCACGGTACTTCTCTTTAGCATTGTTGGCATCGCGGCACAGCTGACGGTACGTGGACTTCAGCTTCTCCAGTTCAGTTTTGGTTATCTAGCAACAATAAAAAAGAAGTTGCATTGGCAGAAGAGGTTCTTCAGATGTGTACCAGAATGCAACTCTCTGGGTAACACTCAAAATACCTTTTGGTTTTGACTTTCCAGCTGCTGATGAAGACTTTGGTAGCTCTTCTTCACCTGCTGCTTGTCTCGGATAAGAGTAGCAAGGCGGTGTAGTGGGCCAGAGTTCAGGTCGTCAGCATGGCCCCTCATGATTCGACCCAGTGCCTCTGTCTGATGAACAACCTGTGACCATGACTGAAAAAACAGAATCATTATTATTTCTGTCGGTTCAGAGTCACAAAGAGCCCCTTTTCTAAATATCTGTTGAAAGCTAAGGAGGCTGCCAGCCTGTGACTGGCCAGAATGTCGCTTTCTATAACTTCGTCACCAGCACCACCATCCCCCTCAAAAAATCCATCCTTTAAGTGCCAAAGTGACCAGACTGCAACATGCCTCATTGCTGAGTTTGACATGCCACAGCTGCAAATATAAGAAAGTGGAAAGGTGCAACCTCAATCTGACGTTGATATTCCACCCAAAATTCAAATTTTGTCTGTTGACATATTTCCCAGCATTAGATAAGTGGGGGGAAAAGTTTGAACTATCCCAGTCATTCTCCTGACCCAGCCTGTCTCCGCGCTGTTTGAAAGCCCGTGGATAGCCATAGCCACCTAGCTAGCGCGGGGCTAACTAGATCAGAACCACCCCGTAGCGGCCCTCCAGTAGAACCCGAGCAGCCGGGACCTCAGGCCGGCTAGGTGACTGTACGTAGGAAGCATGAACCCAGCCCGTGGGCCGCCACCAACCCATCCACGTCTCTAACAGATTTTCAGAATCAGAAGGATTTTATTGCTATATGTACAAAAATCACTAAATTGGGAAATTGCTGCGATACTTGGTGCAAGAAAAAGTAAATAAACACAATTAGAATAAAAAAATAAACACAATGAAATGATAATATAGGGAATCAATATTAAGAGAAGCAGCTACTTTATACAAGTCAGTGTAGGTTCCGGTCAGAGCGGGTCAGTTCAGGTGCAAACACAACACCGGGTCATGTGACTGAAACCAAGCAGCTGGAGTGGGCGGGTCTATGATTATGGTTCATAAATCAGAGGGGGGAAATGGTTCTTGTGGCGAGAGGTTCTGGTCCGAATAAATCAGAGTCTCTTGCCAGATGGGAGCGAGTCGAAGAGACTGTGTCCAGGGTGACACGGGTCAGCTGTGATCTGACCTGCACGCCTCAATGGAGGTGTACAGGTCCTGTATGGCGCACTTCTTCTCAGCACAGCACATGGCACGCTGCAGTCTTTTCATGTCCCTGATGTAGGGCTGGGCGATACGGCCTAAAATCAATATCACCATATATTGAGTTCACCTTGATAACAATAAATGGACAATAACTACAGGTAAGCAGAAACAAAGGTTGTCCACTAGATGGGGCCAGTACATTGAGTCGCATTTTTATGTGACTAAAGGTGGTACAGCTTCTTAAAGGGACACGAATGTTGCCAACCTTCACACATCTTTTCATTTTTCTATTATCGAATTTATTGACATGGGAAAAATTATCGGGGCAGCAGTAGCTCAGGAGGTAGAGCGGACTGCCTCATGATCGGAGGGTCATGGATTCGATTCCAGCTCACACCAGGGGTATTGTGCTGTTGTGTCCTTGGACAAGACACTTCACCCAACTTTGCTGTGTTGGTGATGGTCAGAGGGGCCGACGGCGCCAAATGGCAGCCTCGTCTCTGTCAGAGCCACAGGGTGGCTGTGGCTACAAAGTAGCTTACCATCACTGGCAGTGTGTGAATGTGAGAGTCCTTGAAAGCGTCTTTGAGTGTCCTAAACACGCGCTATATAAGTTTGATGATTATTATTATTATCTCGATAAGAGTCAGAAATGTCGATAACGATAATTTCGTTATGTCACAAAGGTTGCTGCTGAACTGCTTTTAGATCTTTGTTTCAGGTGTTTCTGTGATGTACTGACATATGATTACAAGCACTTCATGTGTTTCAAAGGCTTTTATCAAAAATTACATGGCATTTATGCAAAGAGTCAGTCTTTGCAGTGTTGGCCCTTCTTTTTCAGGACATCTGCAATTTGACTACTTCTGGGCCAAATCCTGACTGATAGCAACCCATTCTTTCATAATCACTTCTTGGAGTTTGTCAGATTTAGTGGGTCGTTGTTTGACCACCCATCTCTTGAGGATTGACCACAAGTTCTCAATGGGAATAAGATCTGGGGAGTTTCCAGGCCATGGACCCAAAATGTCAACGTTTTGGTCCGTGAGCCACTGGGTTATCACTTTTGCCTTTTCTAAGACTTTGTTAGTTAATGACTTGATTTGTGATAATCAGATATCTTTGCTCTCTCTCACAGAATCCTGGCTGCAGCAAGAGGACTATGTTAGTTTAAACGAGTTGACTCCTAATTATTTAAATCATCATATTGCTCCAAGTACAGGGCAAGGAGGAGGAGTAGCAACCACTTTTCATTCAGACCTATTAATCAATCCCTTACCAATTAATAGTTACAGTTCTTTTTAGGGCTGCACAATATATCGAAAAATTATCATCATCGGGATAACAGGACGTGCGATAGGCCCATCGCAAAGCACGTCAAAAATGGCGATAAATGTTTGGTTCAACATTTCCATCCGTGTCATACATCAACTTTTTGTAAACCAGCTCTGTTTTTTACGCGGAAGTATTATTTGACCAATCAAATGTAGCCCCTCTGATATGCGGCCAATCAGATGGGTCCGTTCACCTAATACGCCCGCCCCCTACGTAGACCCTTAGGATGGAAAGTAACACCCGAACTGAGTTAGCGGCACCGTTTCCTTGTTCGTCATGCTGGCTCAGAGCAACGAACGCACTTTGTGCTGAGGTTTCTGGAATCAGCGCTGCTTTCAAACGTGAACGTGAGTCCGCTCGGTGTCATTAAGCAGCTGATAATAACCGGGCTGACTCCGACAAGTGCCGGTGAACCAACCCACCTTCATGTCGCTAGTGTTCCACCGGGTGGTGATGTTAGCCCCAGGCTCCAGTTAGCTTCCAGCTAAAAGGCTACAGCACTCTCCTCCCATTCCCACCCTGCTAAAGATGGCCTGGAAAAGTTCCCCCACACATCAAAGTGATTTTTCATTTATGAGCTTTTATAACCTTGTTACTCAGGATAGTTGATTTGCTGCTGCACATAAACTGTCAGTCAGAAGCTCTGCTAGGCGGTTGTCTTAAGAGGAGCTAGTTCAGTTTGTTAGCTTGTTATCAGAATCATAGTTGCAGTTTCATCATCTGAGCTGCTTTTTAAGATCTAGGTAAACTTGTTCAATTTGGGGTTAAAAACAAACGTTTTCACATATTTTCCATGTAGTTTTTTGCCAGTTCCTCTTCTGAAAGGTAGACAATTGTTTTTCTCTTTCCCTCAGAAAATCTTAATATTCTCCTAGTTTGGCCCAGCACAGTTCACTTCCCAATTACAGCAACAGCCTTATATCATAACCACGCAAGTGGAGAAAATGTTCAGTAGCAATGAGACAATTTGCTGTTGCATTTAAGTGATGATAACTATTATTTAACATTCAAACTTACTTTCAGATATTTTTTATTTATTCAAAAAACCCTGGTAAGGGATGTTTTTTTTCTGTATTTGGAGCATCAGAAAAAGTTTTATGGTGGAGGTGATGTTTTGAAGTCACTGAGAAACTGCATGCATGCAGTCTGTTGTTTTGCTGCTAATACAGTAGCAGGTGCAGCTGCTAATACAGTAGCAGGTGCAGCTGCTAATACAGTAGCAGGTGCAGCTGCTAATACAGTAGCAGGTGCAGCTGCATATTTTTGCAATAAAAATGTTATGTTGTAATGGAATTCATGCATTAGTTTTTGTTTGCTTTGAACCCAGAGCAGACGTCACACGCCAGACGACATCAGCACTGCATACTTTAGTATTTGTTCATTTATCGCGAGTAATATCGATATCGCAATATTAAGCACTGTTATCGAATATCGCAGGTTTTCCTAATATCGTGCAGCCCTAGATCTTTTGAACATATTATTCTTAGTTTTCCTAATCTAGATTGCTAAACTGTAAAACCACTCCATGAATCATGGGAAGAATAAAAAATTAATGCAAGTCAATGGGGCTATAAAAGCTATTGTCAAATCTCATTTGCTATGTGCCACATGATCTCCATGAAATTTTAGAACACATTCTGATGCTTATTTTCTAACAGGAGCAAAACTTGTTTTAGGTTTGTGTGAAAATACGTTCAGGACTACAAATGTGCCTCACCAAATTGACGTCATCAAACCAGACACGGAGAAGAGCGGAGGTAAAACGGCTGTAAGTTCAGCAAACTTCAAAGCCTTCCTTCAGAAGGGAAGAACCACCATAAATCTAGCCATGTGGAAAGTAGCAGCTACGCTAGAGGAGAGGAGGTTCTGTGGTGATGTCATATGTATGACGTGTCGACGTCTCATTTGTAGAAATGCTAATTATGAACTTTTACAAGTAGTAGACAGGCGTGGTTGAAAAACATTACTTTTCATTTAAACTGAAGAACAACATGTGCGACTCACAGCGTAAGAAAAGCGGCGTAGAAAACAGCTATTTTAGCAACGATCAGGGACCCATGAGCCAACCGGAGACTTAAGCCTGATTTATGCTTCTCCGTCTGCGTCACCCCGGCTTTCCACGGGAGCCGTCAGCAGCACGTTACTGCAGCAGCACGTCTTGCTCGCGTAAACTGCTGCTTGGTCCTTACCACGAGACGCAAAGCAGCAGGGGAGCAGCTGTCACCGACCGAGGACAAAGTCACACGAGTGACTTCGTCAGTAAACACAACAACAAGCAGGAGAAAACTACAACGTGGCTCCAAAAGGTTTGTGTTTTATGTTCTGTCCGTTTTATAATCGCCAATACGGACCTGAAACACAAAGGAGACCGCTAGCTATGTGATAACTTCTCACGGGGCCGCACAGTTAGTAACTTTCTTTAAAAGTAAAGCAACCGGAAGGCAGTACGTTCTTTATTCTGAAAATCTCGGAAGCTTCTCTCCATTTCCGCGTCCGATTTCCTGTCTTTCCTTCCCCAAAAATGTCGAACTTGACCCGTTTCAGAGGCGTCGCGCATAGAAAATAGAACCGGCGCGTTAAGGCCGCGACATGCTGCTCCTGAGACGCGGCCGACTCGCGCTGCTGACGGCTCCAGTGGAAAAGGTTCTGTTGACCACAGCGGTTCCTATCAGCAGCTATGACGTGCTGCTGCAGTAACGTGCTGCTGACGGCTCCAGTGGAAAGTCGGGGTCAGTGCGGAGACACGCAACGCCATGATCCGTCCTTGTGTAGGGCTCCGGCAGGCACGCAAGTACGTACGGAGTCGAGCCCACTTTTTTAAACATCCGTCGAACGAGACGGATTACGCAAGCTTGTGATTGGTCAGGACGCCGCTGTTGTTTACAGCCCCGCCATTGCAAAGAGAGCCGAGGATAACTAGCGGCAGACACAGAGAAGCTTGAAGAATACCTCACGAAAAAACTCTAAAAATATGAACGTTTTATCCCCCCGTGACTGGAGGAGTGAAAAGATGCGCAGCAAGCGTTTTATTTGTGGACAGAAATGACAGGAAACGTGGGTTTAGAGGTGGGGAGCGCATGAAGCGGTGGGAGAATGAGAGACAAATATGTCCGTATTAAAAGTCTCTTATATACACAAAAAACACAATATAAACACACGATCTTGAACCGATACATGACAGGATACCACAGAACAGCGCTACGCCCTCTGTTGTCCTGCTGGGCAATTGCTATGCAACACTCTCCAGGAGACGGAGAAGTATGAGAGCAAAACGCTTCCGTCAATCCGTGCGTGTCTGTCCCTTGCGGAGCTGACGGAGAAGCATGAATCAGGCTTTAGGAAACCTAATAACCACACAGAGACGTGGCTGCATGGACGGCAGGATATCCCAAAAATCGCTACACCCTCTGCTGCCCTAGTGGAAAACTGCTTCACAACACCGACACATCACTAGAGAAGTATAAAAGGAAACTGTCTCCGCTCATCAGTATGTGTGTGAGCACAAACTAGCTGATGGAGAAGAATAAACTAGGCTTCATGGTGCATTCCTGTTGTTCTTGGAACTCGTTTTGTCCAAGACAAGTTAGCCTAACTGAATGTGGAAGTTTGGGCTGCAAGTTCGTAGGTTTCAGAAGACCCCAAGATACCCAATTTAAAGATGGCTGCACCCAGTGCTACCAGGAAGTAGTTGTCATCCTAAGTGTTTGCTCATTTTCAAACAGAGAAGGGATGATGATATGTATTTTTTCTGTTTGTGGTATTTAAAAAAATATATATTTATATATTATGTATGTTTTCTTTGTTTGAAATAAACTAAAAAACTAAACTAAATTTATATGTTTTTTTTTCTTTAATAGCTCAGTGTAGTTGTTTATCGTTATCAATAGTTACGTTGTTGAAAGATGAAACATTGCTGCAAAAATGGACCGGTTTATGGTTTTTACTTTTCCTGGCGTTTACATTTCTACGTTTGATTTGTGATGTTCTCTGGTTGTATGTGGTGACTGTCGATGGGCGTGCTTGTCACCATTATCTAGGTGCAGGGAATACTTGCTAAGTTCTTTTGGTTCTTTCAGTACTCAACAACACTGGCAGTGTGCACCTTTTCCGAGTTGGAAGCTGGAATGCAAAACGAGTCCCTTATGTCATTTCCTGCTCAGAAATTCCGAGTTCTGAGGACAACAGGAACGCAGCTTTTGTCTCAGTTACATGAAAGGCCCTCTCCTGCAAAGGTGAGTCGCTTACCTTGCTGACCGTGCTCACAAAGTCAACGGGTTCCTGTTTCTCCGTTTGCTGAGTCATGCTGAGGAGCAGGGCAGCATACTCTTTATCACTCTTCACCCGCAGTGTCATGAAGCGCTTCACCATCTCCAGAAGCTGCAAACACAAAAAGTACTGCAAAGTGAGATCATAGAAGATTGAAGCTTCCATGTAGGGCTGGGCGATATGGAAACAATAATCATGATTGTTTTCTTTCTCCCTCTCACTCTCTCTACTTCTTTATTTATTAAAAGTATGGATAATATTCACAGTACTAACCAGGGGCGCAGATAGGATTTTCAAACTGGGGGGGGGGCAAAGTTCCAATGTACCCTCCCCCAAACACATGCACACACACAGACACACACACACGCGCGTACACATACACAAACTATTGCAAGCACCTTAACTAGAGCTCAGTCAGTTTGTGTAATTTCATCCAACGGTTTACGTAAAACCTAACACTTTTATATACGTGTTTGAAGCCATTTTGCAGTGGAATGCTGGCAACAAAGCTCTGCCTGATCAACACTATAAATGATAAATGATCCGCACTTGTATAGCGCCTCTCAGAGTAAGGACTCCAAAGCACTTTACACTACAGTGTGTCATTCATCCATTCACACACTGATGGGGATGAGCTACGATGTAGCCACAGCTGCCCTGGGGCGCACTGACAGAGCCGCCCCACTATTTAATTCAGTCATTTGTTATTCTCCCAATCAATTACTAACCAAAACCTCATGCTTTATGCAAAACATTAAATGATTTTCAGCATACCGATCTTTACAGAAAACATAAAAACCCTAAAAACTGCACATAAAATATATTTAAAAAATGAAATTCACTTATCACTTGGAGCAGTAGTTCCCAAACTTTTCAGCCTGACCAGCAGATGTTCCTTCTTATTTTTACGATGTATAAATTTTCATTATATTTGGAAAGTTTTAATTTATAAATAAATATATAAATCTCTTTTAAAATTTTTATTTTACTTTTTTTATGATTATGTGGCACACTTGACTTCCATACTTAACGCATCGGCATCTGCCTCTTTTTACGGCTTTTTTTTTGTTTACATTGTCGCTACGTCTGTCACGTTTGCAGTGTTTTACCATAGTTTCTACATCCATCACGTCCCAGAGAAGGTTAAACCAACATCAAACCCATTGTTTGGAGCTTGTAAACTCCACACATCTCGTGCTGCAGCAGCTGTCTGATGCTGCACCAGTGCCAATCGTCCCGGCTGGATGAGTGAATTTCTTCATCAGAGTCAATATTCTGCTTCATAATCCGAGTCAGTCATTACCAGACAAAGTGATCAGTCAACAAAGACCAGACCTGCCGGCAATTATACGTTTTATCTAATATTTGTGCTCTTCATGCTGCGCGCATCTCCTCCTCTCCCCGACTGGGTGCCTCTCGGCGGGAGGCGTTTTTCAAACTCTAAAAACACTCAAACTTTGCTCAGCCTGAAGGTTCCACATCTCCACTATCTTCTGGTGTAAAGTAGTAACTTCATGAGGGATCATATTTGTAGATGAGACTTGTTAAAGTCAGCAATGAGGCTTCGGCGCTCTTAACGAGTAAGTCCCAACACTGACAACAATGTACAGAATCTATAACCAACATGCATAAACAGACAGATCGGTCCCGCCTGCTTAGACTGTTGGTCTTTTTTAAATACGCAGTGATCGTTCCTTGCATTTTTCGCTTCATCCTGCATCCTCGCAGCAACCACTTTGGCGCCTCTGGAGTTGGGGTTTGTTTACGTCATGCTGCATTCAATGTAATTGGAAAAAGGAGCTTCAAGCGCTAAACCTCCGATTTTGTTTTCTTTCTGGCCTTAGTTGGGGGGACGAATCGGGGTCGATCTGAATCTGGGGGGGGACAGATCCCCCCATCCCCCACCCTATTGAGGGGTGCTAACACACACAAGTGTTAAACTCACATGCTGATGTTAAACAGACACAAGTAAAGTGGATAAAAATATAATTTTTGTGTGTGCGTGTGTGCTCTGTCTTTTCCATCCCCAGGGAGTCGTGGTGGATGGCTGCTTATACTGAGCCAGGATTCTCTGGAGGTTTCTTCCTGTTAAAAGGGACTTTTCCTCTCCACTGTCGCTGCATGCTTGCTTAGTATGAGGATCGCTGTAAAGACTCTGACACTAGTCAGTGGCTCGATGCGACCTGCTGGGTTCCTTATATAGGAAACTTGTTACTGATTGGCTTGAGGACCTGACCTGTGTTGGAATGTTTACTGTGTGAAGGTCCTTGAGACGACTCGTCGTGATTTGGCGCTTTAGAAATAAACTTGAATTGATTTTTTTTTATTAGAACATTTATTCTATTTTCATGGCAATGTTAAAAAAAATGCTACAACTATTTTACATAATACTTTCCATGACAATAGAACAGGAGTGAGATGAAGAAAAAATCTTATGATCTCCCACCCCTCCCTACATCAGTTCCGCTACAACCTTAACAGCCTGACCAACGCCCAAATACAACACAATTACTCTTCAAACTTCAACAGCGTTACCGATGTTAGTCCATCCATCCATCCATCCATCCATTTTCCTACGCTTATCCGGAGTCGGGTCGCGGGGGCAGTAGCCTAAGTCGAGAAGCCCAGACTTCCCTCTCCCCAGCCACTTGGGCCAGCTCCTCCAATGTTAGTATCACTTGTAAATTTTTCCTTTCCATGTGAGAATAGTTGTTAACAATTTTCACATTTATTTTATACAACTTGAGTACCTTCTGCTTATACTGATACTTAAATTCAAAAATGTTTGAACAACATTTTAAATTATTTTCTAATGAGTTCGTCTGTTTCACACCAGTAACTGAGATTCGTGTTTGAGGGTAGTTCCAGCGTAGAGTTGTTTAATCATTTTTCCTCCTGCTTGTCTCACTATTTGTGTTAAAAAGGCTTTGAAGTCCATGTGGGAACAGATCGTGTTTTGCTCTATAAACAACTAATAAAGTTTGTAATGAAACCAAGTCCTTCAACAGACCAGACCTCAGAACCAGTCCTAAGGTATGTTCTCTTGGAGCAGCTCCATTAATTATTCTTATAGCTCTTTTGTAAAATAAACAAAGGCATTGAAGCATTTCCCCATACCTCTAACCATACATCAAATATGGCTAAATAAAAGAGCAGTATAAAATTCTCATGGCTTTGTATTTTAACATTGACCGTACTTTACTCAGAACAATACCGTTTTTACACATTTATTTCTGACATACGCTGTATGTGACTTCCACTTAAAATGATCATCAATGATTACTCCCAAAAACCTAGGTTCTGTCACTCTCTCAGTGCTGGTTCCATTTAAAATCAGACATGTTTACATGTGCAAGATATTTTCGATAAATTTTGTTTTACTTAAATTTAATGACAATTTATTTGTAATAAACCAATTCTGAAGTAGAACCATTTCTTGTTCAACACTTTTCATCAACATGTTTAAGTCCTTCCCTGAAACAAAAAAAATTTTATCGTCTGCAAAAAGAACAAAAGGTAAAATCTTAGATTGATCACAGAGGTCATTTAATATATAAAATAAAAAGTTTAGGCCCTAACACGGAGCCTTGAGGAACTCCACATTTTACTGTCTCCAGCGTAGATTTACAACCCATATATTCTACATATTGTTGTCTATTCTCCAAGTAACTGATACGCCAAATAAAACCTGCTCCTCTAATTCCATACATCTGTAATTTCTATTTCAAATACCATGATTAGTGTCCAAAACCCTTTTAAGATCTATAAAAATTCCAACTGTATAATTCCTATTCTCCAATTCACTTGTAATGTCCTCCGTGATTTTTATCAATGCCACAGCTATTGAGCGGGTACTTTGAAACCCATACTGGTTATCATGTATTAAAGAATGTTTTTCTAAAACATAATCAAGTTTTTTAACAAAAAGCTTCTCCAAAATGTTTGAAAATTGAGAATGCGAGGCTATAGGCGTATAATTTGTGGGGCAACGCTTTTCCCCAGATTTAAAGACAGGAATAATTTTTGTCACTTTCGTTTTATCTGGAACCAAACCTGTATTGAAGGATAAATAAATTAAATATTTTAATGGACTAATAATAAATTGAACGGTTTCTTTAACGATATACATATCTAAGCCATCACATGAGCATTTACTTTGTAATTCAGAAACAGCAGAAATGATTTCGCTCTCACTGGGGCAGCTGTGGCTACAACGTAGCTCACCACCACCAGGGTGTGAGAGTGTGTGAATGGGTGAATGACTGATTGTGTTGTAGGGTTGTCACGGGAACCGGTGTGGCGGTAAACCCCGGTAAAAAAGTTGACAAAAATAATAACAGTCTTGTTTTTAAAAAAGATATATTATCTCGGTGGATTGCCGTGGCTGCGGTGTAGTCGCGGTGACCCTTAACAGCCACCGTATCATCTGCTGAAGTTGCCGGCGGCACATGCGCACTTTGTTGTTTACAACCAAAACTTTCTTGAAGCTAAAGCTGAAATAATGGCCAAAGGAGGAGACGGCAGCGCTCAGGACATTTTTTATCCCTCAAAGAAGACAAAGTGGGAAGTACGGGCATCTTTTGGATATTTGAAGAATGCCGAGGGACAGTTGATAGAAGACGGCGATCCTGTTTGCAGCACGTGCAGAAAAAGTGTCTGTGAAAGGCAACAACGCTTCAAATCTCATGACACATCTGCGTGACCATCACCCACAACTCTACAGTCAACGCAAGGCAAGTTAACGTTAGCGTTTTAGCTAAAATGCGTGATCCGAGGATTTGGGTTGAGGGAGAATGCAACGAGTCGCTATATAAAGCAGCCGCAGCGCCGCTACCTGCAAATAAACCGTGTCGTGGACACCGCCATATTGAAATGACGCTATGCATTACGGGGCTCCCAGGGGTAGATAAGAGTTGGTCTCTCTCCGAGAATAATTATGAATTGAACAATGATTACTGCCTGATGACATTTTCCCACATCTGCAAAGCTCACTGGAACACAAACCGAGGACAATATTTTCCTGATATAGGGTTTTTACTCAAGTAAGGGTAAAAAGTATCTAATTAGAAGGCTACTTGAGTACTGAGTATCATCTGGTCTAATATTTTTAAAATGATGACATCAAACCGACAAAAATTAAGAAGTTAAGGGCAAATATTGCTATTTTAAAGACTAAAGGGGAAAAATGTAAACAAATAAACAACATAATTACAAAATAACACATTTTAGGCAAAATTTAGACACAAACTGAGGACAAAATTTTCCTGATATACAGGGTTTATTTAGTTGTCTGAAAATGTAACACGTTTAAAAAAACACTGCAATAATACCGAAAACCGTGGTAATTTTAGTCACAATAACCGTGAGGTTAAATTTTCACACCGTGACAACCCTATTGTGTTGTGAAGTGCCTTGAGGGGTTGTAGAACCCTAAGAAGGTGCCATACACATACCATTTACTGCACATGCTCCAGATTACATGGTCTCCTAAACAGTTACCCACAGCTGACTGGGACATACCTTCAATTCCCAGTCCTGCAGCTTCAGTAGACCCTCATAGGAGTTGGTGAGGTCCCGCCCAAAGCCCATAGTGGATCTAGAGTCCGTCTCTAACTGTGAATCTGGCAGCAGTATGATTTCATGGTTTCTGTGGAAAAAGATCACAGCTTCATTATTAGACCACAGGATGAGGCTCGGTGCGTGGTCCATTGCGGTAAAACTTTCAGCTGAAATATTTGACAGAATCTGTGAATGAATTTTAATCAGAGACAATCCACATGCAACATCAACTAAGTGCCCGACAGCTGATTCTGGTTTATTTACTCCTGAATCCTCCTAACACACACTCACTCTAAACCGTAGGAACTCAACAAAACCTTGTCCCAGGAGCTCTGGACCAGAAGAGACGGAAGGCGAGTCCCACTCGGTGTTAGTGAGCCGCTCGGAGACTTATGAACTGGAATTCCTTAGGAAGGGTGTGAGAGTGTGAGCTAATGCTAGCCTCAGCCTCATTCAAAACTTATGGAAACCGAGCCTAGCATGCTAATAGCTAGCTACAACTGAACTCAGAAAACTGCATGCAGTGCCAGAACCCGCTACTGCCTTCGGACTGTCCGGTTCTACCGGAGAAGACAACAGCCAATTCACGGGGAAAGGCTGCTGCCTTCCGGTCATTCCGGTACAACCGGAGAAGGCAGGACGAGGACCGAGAGTTGGTTCGAAGTTGTTTTGCTTTAGCAGTTTTCTGCTGGATTTACCAATCTGGAAACGGTTATTTCCCTTGGGAGAGTCGTTGTTCGGTCACCGGAGTACTCTGAGCTCCCCCACTGACATAATTTCCTTCTTTTTACGGTGTTTTCCCTCTTCGTTTACCGGTTTCTCCTGCTGTCTTACGGGTGTGGAACTAGCCGCTAACAGTCAGGGAGGGGCTTCCGCGGGAAACGGAAGCTTGGGGAGGGGGGGGGGGCAGATCGCAGGCCCAGTCCCAGCACGCGCGCTCCCAGCCAACAGGCTGATGACACAAACCTATTCCTAAAGACAGCCATCAACCTTTAGTTGTTGATTTGATAAACAGCTTCTCTGCTGCCTCCAGGCTTTCTTTAAACATAAACTATTAGCTCTCAAACACTGCGACATTCCCTTTATTTATAATATACCAGGGTTACGCACTATTACTTAGGAATTATTATCTCAAATGAATAAACAAATAGAGGGCGACTAAACTTTGACCCCATTATAAATACAACTCAGAAAAAACTAAACCAATGGCTACGAAGAGATTTATCGCTAAAAGGCAGAATTCTATTGACCAAAGCAGAGGGAATCTCTCGTCTTACATGTGCTGCTCTATCACTCAATGTTTCCAAACACTATGCTATATTGATAAAATGCTACTTCATCTGGTGGGAAAAAAACACTATATAAAAAAATCTGTTATAATGAACTCTTATGATAATGGTGGTTTTGATTTCTTAGACTTTCAAACTTTATGTGATGAAGTAGGAGTTGAGAATGTTTTAATATGAGGTGGCAATCAGCCCGGAACCTTTGTTTCCCATGTGCTGTTTCCTCCGGCAGGGTGTTGCAGTGCCCCAGTCCGGAACTGAGAACCAAAGAAGTAAGAGTCTGCCGGCTTGGATGTAATCCTGTGTCTATTCCAAGGTTAAAGAGTTAAATGTCAACTGTAGTGGTGTGCATCTTTTTAATTTTCGTAACCCCTTCAGGTTACTACACTTTAAATAACAGAGGTGTGGACTTGAGTCACATGACTTGGACTCGAGTCCGACTAAGTCATTATTTTAATGACTTCTGACTTGACTTGATAAAATAATTTCTGGAATTGATTTATTATCTATGCCATTAAATTGAAGTTGGACAGATAACTTGATTATGACTTGAAAATTCAAAGTTGAGGACTTGGATTTGACTTGGACTTCCACATCATTGACTTTGGACTGTAGCGTTGACAATCTACATACCGTAAATCCTCTAATATTGGCCTGTATTCAATTAACGGCCGGGTATCATATTTTGGCCGGTGTCGGAGTCGGCGGAGGTGAATAATGGCCGGTATTGTATTGTGGCCGGGTGGAATGTGGTAACAAGCAAGTACCACAGGGAAGCGGTTGTGTCATCCGTCTCACTTTTGATTTGCCAGTGACAGACCGCGATTTGGCAGGTGCGGAGACGAAGAGGAGGTGAAAATTTGATATCAAGTTCAAAGAGAACGTGCTGATTATGCTGCAGAACACTCTGGGGAGCAGCAGTAGGGGTTGTATGAACTAGTCACTAGTCGACTTCACTATAGTGACTTTTTATGCCTGTCATCGACTAATCGCTGTCACGTGATAATGACCGGCAAGATGCAGTCCACGGAAAAGACAGCAGCCTTCTGTCAGCAGGTGACAAGCTCCTGCGTGTCGGGGGGCAACGCGCTGTGCCAGAGCGTTGGTACTGACACCTGCCGTAAAACGGACATTTAACCAAATTGTGACTTTTTCCCTCTTGCAATTTAACCTTCCCCTCACCCCCATCCTAACCTTAACCAGCTTGCGCATGCAAAGCTCTGATTGTTGACGCGCTCCAGACATCTGCGTCCTGAGCACGGCCACAGTAACATTATCAAATCAGGTGTCGCCACATCAAAAACTAACTTAATACGCAATATTTCATGTCGGCTCATTTCCTTTAATGTTTTCTGTCTTTTATTCTGTTATTTGCGCCTGATGCGTTTCGCTGCTGTGGAGCGGGGCGCATCACCTGTTTTGTCCTCCGTGATGCACCGATCACTGATGCGGCCGGCAAGCAGCGCGCACTCCGCTGTTTTTGCGGTCGGTAGATCTTTTAGAACTGCAGTTCAAAGGTAACTCATTAGGTGAATATATATGAACCCAGGTAGCAGTTTCTCTTTAGGATTGAGAGGAGATGCAGGAAGATAATAAACAGACAGGACAGAAAAATAGTCAAATAAAAACAAGTTAGTTTTTGTACCTGGTGGTTGCAACAAACAGACACCATTGAAGGTAATCAGAAGTGAGGAACAGAAAATGAAATAATTATTTTAATGTTTAGAGCAGCAGGAACTCCGAGAGGCTCCGTGAGTATGCGGCCGCTGAGCAGGGGGAGGGGGAGAGGGCTGAAGCAGAAACTACCGTTGTTAAAAGAAATGTGTTTAACTTGGAAAATGTGGGCGCAATTTTAATTGTCAAAAACTTCAGCGAACCATTAGTTCATTTTGCTCAAATAGAAATAGAGGCCTGCCTCTAATTCTGGTCCTCCTTCCAATAAAGGCCTGGAGCTTGATGAGCTTGAGTCAAATACAGGCCCGGGCCTGTATTAGAGGATTTACGGTACTAGGATTTAACGCTGTTTGCTATCAGCTTTGTTAGATTCTGAGAAAGATCAACAAATTAGCAAATGAAGCTGATATCATGTTTAAATTATCCAGGATATTTATACAATCAATAGAAGTTCATACACCAATCTGCTTGGTCTATATTTAATCCAAAGATTAACATTTAATATAAGAATTTTAATTAATAGTAAAAGTTTATTTATTAAACAGAAGACTTAATGGAATCTTTGCTTATTCAATAACCAAATATACACCATTCTGTGTTTCATTTCAAAGAAGAGTCAGGTTTAAAAAGTTAAGAACTTATTACTAACAATTTAAAGATGACAATTTGAGAATGACAATTTAAAAATGACAATTTATAACAGCTTTGATATTAAAACTTGGTATTAAAAGCAACCTGCATGTCTGGGTGAAAACTAAAATGGAATGCGTGTGTTGAATGCGTTCTTAGAGAGAACAGCATCGGACGCAATCTGTGTTCTACCTCACCCAGTTAGACAACCCTCTGTGTGGATCCGAAGGTCAAAGGGAGGATGTTGTCAGCCTCTGGGCACTCGGTCCGGTAGGGAGACCCGAGTGGTACGACTCTCTGGTCCAAGAGTTATTGCAGGGTACACAGGTGTTGAGCTTGCGTCTGGCTTAAGTCTGTAGGAGTTTTGTGTCAGCTGGTGCAGGTGGCGTTTATTCGGAGCGATTCTTTCGGCGTGACAGACAGCTTAGTGAGGCTTCGGGCGGCCGACCCTTGTCCTCTGGGACTCTCGTGCCACGGAGAGTCTTTGGTTGGTTCAGAACTGAACTTCAACTGAGGAGTTTTTGGTTTTATTAAAACTCAGGACTCGCCCTCTCAGAGATAGAAAGCTTTGGTTATGGAGCAAAGACATGTGAGGTGGCTACCTTTACCCTGATTCATTCCCCTGCATGGTGTGTATAAGTGTACATGACCTTCTGGTTACTGATCAAACATTACTGATTATCATAAATAATAATTATTGTTAACCAAAGAAGAATAAGTCATTTCAGTAATTAAATACATTTATAATGAACCATGAAGATTATTTATGATGATTATTTCTGAACCTTGTAATAAACAGTGAAAAGAGTTTATTAAAAATTATTATTTTATATCTTGAAGTGTCCTTCATCTTGGGCTGGAACAGCAGACAGATAAACGGCAGTCAGATTAAAGATGGTTTTAGCAGACTCTACGTCTCCTCTGATGGATAATCTGTGGACAAAGTACATTTTAACCCAGCTGGGGAAGTGTGACCTTTGGGTCACAAATGAGGCCATTCATGTCGCTACAGTACTCAACTTGGACTTGGTTGTCTTTGACTTGACTCGAGACTTGATTGGAAAGACTAGTGACTTGCAAAGCAGTGACTTGGTCACACCTCTGTTAAATAACACTTTCAAAGTTAACTGGCTCAAACAATTCATTAACAATTCATCATCAGTCTGGAACTGCATGCCAAAATTAATCTTTTCAAAACTTGGAGGTCTCAAGTTCCTTTTACTCTGCAATTATAATGTAGAAAAAATCCCGTTGAAACTATTTTTCCATAAACAGTATTTTAAGGTTGCTGTAATCAAACCTTAACTTAAGAAGCCTTCTCTGGATCCAGATGACCCAATGAATTATAGACCAATATCTAACCTTCCACTTTTATCCAAAGTCCTGGAGAAAATAGTGGCCATCCAAGTATGTGAGCATTTAAACACTAATGATCTGTTTGAGGAATTTCAGTCTGGTTTTAGAGAGTATCACAGCACTGAAACTGCGTTAGTGAGAGTTACAAATGATATTCTCATGGCCTCAGATAAGAATCTTGTGTCTGTTCTAGTCTTGTTAGATCTCAGTGCTGCCTTTGACACAGTAGATCACAATGTTCTTGTAGAAAGACTTGAACATGTTGTAGGGATCAAAGGAGCAGCGTTAGGCTCGTTTAAATCCTACCTGTCTGACAGATTTCATTTTGTAAATGTACATGACAAATCTTCTTCATACTCCAGGGTTACTTGTGGAGTACCACAGGGTTCAGTGCTGGGACCTATTCTTTTACTATATATATGCTCCCAATTGGTAAAATCATTAGACAGCATGGGATAAACTTTCACTGTTATGCTGACGATGCTCAGTTATATCTATCCATTAACCCTGATGAACCTGGTTGTTTAGGTAGATTACATGCTTGTCTTGTTTAAAAAAATTGAACATTTGTTTCAGCGAGCCTTTTCACCATGATTTATTTGGACTCTACTGCGGCTCTGACACAGAGGAAACTTTAAATGTTTATAATTGTACTTCTGATGGACCAGAACCAAAAATTTCTGGGTTTGCTGCCCGCCCCAGAGAGCAGAGACCAACCAGAGGGAGAAACAGGGGAGCAGCAGGTGAGTTAACTCATGTGCTAACATCACAATTTAGTACAGATTAATATAATGTACCAGACAGTTAAAGTAGTATTGCTCAGTTAATATAATATTAATACTAATGAGCGTATGTCAGCGGTCTCATACTCGTTAATATCCGCTCACCTAACCTAGTTTAGCTTAGAGAGAGGGAGAGAGACGCCTGTGATCTGGTTCTGGAGCTCATGCGGGCTTCTTTGAGCTGGATCCGACCCAGACACTAGCGAGCCATTCCAGCTGGTGTATTTAAAAGCTGTGCATCCTCTCCTGGTGATCCAGATGGTGATGCTAATCCAATTCCAACCCAGAAACTAGCTCCACTGGCCAGCTGGGCCGCGCATCATGTTTTCCATTAGAATACAATGTTTTCCATTAGAACAGAATAGAATGCCTTTAATGTCGTACAACAAAATTAAAAAGTGGTGCCATCACCTATGGTGCATAAAAACAATAAATAAAAATTAATTAAAACACATACCACAGATGCACGCACATTCACATTCTCATTCCATTCGAGACGTGTGAAGTGTGAAGGGAGGGGTGAGAGATGTGTGAAGGGGGGTGAGAGATGTGTGAAGGGAGGGGTGAGAGACGTGTGAAGGGGGTGAGAGACATGTGAAGAGAGGGGTGAGAGACATGTGAAGTGTGAAGGGAGGGGTGAGAGACGTGTGAAGGGGGGGGTGAGAGACGTGTGAAGTGTGAAGGGAGGGGTGAGAGATGTCTGAAGGGGGGGTGAGAGACATGTGAAGGGAGGGGTGAGAGACATGTGAAGGGGGTGAGAAATGTGTGAAGGGAGGGGTGATAGATGTGTGAAATGTGACGGAGGGGTTAGAGACGTGTGAAGGGAGGGGTGAGAGACGTGTGAAGGGAGGGGTGAGAGACATGTGAAGGGAGGGGTGAGAGTCATGTGAAGGGAGGGGTGAGAGACATGTGAAGGGGGGATTGAGAGATGTGTGAAGTGTGAAGGGAGGGGTGAGAGATGTGTGAAGGGGTGAGAGACATGTGAAGGGAGGGGTGAAAGACATGTGAAAGGGGGATGAGAGATGTGTGAAGTGTGACGGAGGGGTGAGAGACGTGTGAAGGGAGGGGTGAGAGACATGTGAAGGGGGATTGAGAGATGTGTGAAGTGTGAAGGGAGGGGTGAGAGATGTGTGAAGGGGTGAGAGACATGTGAAGGGAGGGGTGAGAGACATGTGGGGGGGGGGTGAGAGACGATCATATTTTATGTTACATTTAGAGTGTTTGGCATAAATCGATTGTTTTTATTATTGCTTTTAGACAAAAACAAAACTGAAACAGTCAACATAGAAGAAATTACCTGCTTCAGGTCAGCAGGCTGTTGCTGTCATGTAGGGTTAGGGTTAACTAAGCTAACGAGTCAGTATGTGGGTAAAAAGTCTGTCAGGCCTAATGAATTCATTAGTCATGAATCATCAGCGTGAACACCACGACACCGGCAACATCCACATGATGATCGCAACGTGGAGCAGAAAGCTGAAGACCAGATGTAGCTAACTGTTGAAGCCACACAGGATAACCCACAGACATGTGTACGCGGCGCCTCGTGGACTGGCGCTGTCTATGTAGTGGCCGGCCGCCATTTTGGATGGGTCTCCATTTGCCCCTGGTGCATTCATTTCTACTGAGGAAGGTGTTTACCAACTAAAACACGCACAGAAACGGGAGTAGTTATTCACTCTGCATCTCTTCTTACAGTCACTGCTCTGCATTGACTTTGGAGTGGATGAGACCCATCCAATATGGCGGTGAAGCTGTTCCAGTGCCCAATTAGGGCGTCTACTATTCATGTCTACGGGATAACCCGCTTTAAAATCGAGCGAACCCCAACACGTTTGTCACCGCCCAGTTCCATACAGCTCTCCTATTGGCTGAGCAGTTGCTATAGGAGATTGTACTTCCAAGTTTTGAGAGAGAGCAGAAAAAATCCATGAGAGCAGGAAACAGACTTGTGGGAGCAGTTTTGATCTGTGCAGATAAAAAGATTTCACGTGAGAAGACAATACCGGTGTAAGAAGGTTCAATATGAGCGCAGAAACACAGATCTGAAGGAGAACAGAGTATATTTGAAAGAGGGCAGACATTGAGTGCAAGCATTACAAGTTTTCAGAGCAATGATATAAAATCTTATTCTCAAATTAAAAAGTTGGTCTCTTGATATGAAATTCTGCTCTCAAGTAGAAAATTCAAGTGCTCAATTTGTGGCATTTTAATTCTTCCACAGTTTTCATGCTTCTTATGCCCGTGTTCCACTGTTTGCCTGTAGGGGTCAGTATTTAAACAGCTCTTTTAGGTTTTCTTTGTCACTTCATTTTTTACACATATTGTTCAAATAGAAAACCACACCTGAACTACCTGTTGGAGGACCTCTCTGTTAGTTGTTACCCAGAAAACCCGTGTCTGCTGGCTGGAGTGGGCGGAGCTAATGGGACATGAAAAGGACTATAGGAAGAGGCGGCCAGTTTCTGTCCAACTGGTTCAAAAGGCGTCACACTTTCACTGACATTCATTCAAAACACAACCCTCTACACAGCTCCAGCTGCTGCTCGTTTAGCTGTGACACATGAACAGGTAAAAACATACGTCACACACTGGTCACACCATCTTGGGTCAGCAAGCATACGATTTCTAATCACTTCTGTTAAAACTTTAACTTTGGGCAGTTAAGTCATTAAAACAAAGATCAAAGAGAAAATAACAGAATCTGCTAAAACATGAAACAGCTGCTGGAAAAGGAGGAGGGGTCAGCGAGGAGGTGCACCTGTGGGCGAGTTTCGTACAAGACCAAGAGAGAGAAAGAGGGAGCGTCAGCAGGTAGAACAGGTTTGGGTGAGGCCGGCACAAGAGCATGTTGGAAAGCTGAGACGGTTCAGTCAGATTTGCTGCTTCGTTCAGGTTCATTTTCTTTCACTAAAGACATTAAAACAAAGGCTTGAGTTCTAATCAGAAGACAACACACACCTGTGGATGTGGACAGGTAAGTCACCTGAAAGTGTTTCTGTTGATCTGAAGGTACCAAACTACTGTCAGATAAAATCACTGTCAAGTAAAGCAGGAGGGTTTATTTGGGCAGCTGACCTGAAGAAAATGCTCTGTTTATAGTACTACAACTGTTTTATAGTAGGAGTACTTCTAGGGCGATGTCACAAATACTTTCAGCAGTTCTTCAATATTCAGTGATTAATTTATCTGAAGCGTATCTGGTAGAAACAAGAAAGACACCCGAGACTCACAGAAACCTGACATGGTAACATGGCTGATCTGCTGTGGTTGGAGGATCTGCAGAGCATGCTCTCAGGAGGGAACGGGACCTCCATGAGCGCTCTGATCTGATTGGTGAGAATCCAGAGTGGATCCCCAGCGGGTACCTCTCCTGAAAGAGATCCTTCTGGAGCTATGCTGTCATGTTGGAGGCTTTGTGGAGCCGTAGACGAACCACACTAGCCTGCGGCGTGTCTGGGGGGGGGGGGGGGGGGGGGCACGTGCCCCCACTGCAAAAAGGCTGGCCACCCCTGGTGCCACCCCTAAACTGAGAGTAAAAACATCTTTGACATATAAACAACTACACCATAAGTTCTAAAACATCAAATCTGCAACATAAACAATAAAATATCTAATGTAACATGGCACATTCATAGTGGAGTTCAAATGTCCGATTGTACATGAATGCAGCACAGCTGCAATCAGTGGTCTCCGTTGGCCCAGGAAGGGGTCAGGTGGTACATGACAAGCATAACAAATATGTTAACTTACTGTAACTGTTTATGCTAGCATGTTAGTGTCCTGGCTGGAAAAGATTTGGCTGCAGGTGAATTCATGTCGTTGTGCATGAATGAATGCTAGCCCGACCGCTTTTATTCTCTTATGGTGGAAATGAGGTAGTTATGTTTAAACGTCACCATCTGGGAAAACTTGAGCAACAGGCAAAAAATTCTGAATCTGTGTGTGTGTGTGTGTGTGTACTCACACTCGGATGGGAGTTCTCAACGGTCCTAAACTGAGTCCTAAACCCCTCCCAGGAGCCCGTGAGCGTGAAGCAATGAGCGAGATGCTTCATTTTGTTGAGAGAAAGCACAAAATAAATCAACAAACTTTCTTATGTTTTCCTGATAAATTTACGATAATTAAGTGAAGTCGCCGGACCAAATCAGGCTCAGACAGCAGAGAGAGAGGTGGAGCTGTGTGTTGCTGGCCCAGTGATCAGGCCTGCAGACACCGTGATGCATGTGATCATGTGTGGAGAGCTGGGTTCAGGTTTAGTTTCTGGGCTTAAGAGCTGCGCAGCTGTAGAGCTGCGCAGCTGTAGAGGAGCAGGACTGGCAGCAGTCAGAGATCTGATCATAACAAATGAAGGACGACAGAGGCAAAATGTCGAAGTTCGGCAAACTTCCCGCAGGAGGAAAGAACCACCGTAAATCTGGTCATGTGGTGTGTAGCAGCTATGCTAGGGTGAGGGGCTTATGTGGTGACATATGAGATGTACAGATTTCTGGTGTGTAGTCTTGCTAATTACAAACTTTTACAAGCTGATGAATCTCAAAGTACGTGACTGGCATTGCAGACTAGGTGATGAGTTTGGATCCTTCTTCAATGAGAAATCACCAACATTAGATCAGCCTCATTCCTCTAAAGCAGCTAACAACCAGACCACTGAGAGCCACACAGCAACAACCTGGCCACAACGCCAGCTTTCACCCGGATTAGCACTAAACCATTGAAAACTGTTGTTGCTGTGGAAGAGGAAACTAGATCCTCAGTGTTGAACAACTCCCGACCGATCTCTAATCTCCCTCTGATGGAAACATCATTGAAAAGGTGGTAATGATCCAAATAAACAACTATTTAGAGTTAATTAACATTATCAGTCAGGCTTTAGACAGCACTACAGCACTGAGACGGCACTGATCAAGGTATTAAACGACCTTCGTCTCAACACTGATTCAGGTGAAGCATCTGCCCTGATGATGCTCGACCTCAGAACGAAACAAAATATGTCCTATCTGGAAACAGAAGAACTGATATCATTAAAAACCAACCAAATGGAGAATGAGAGGGTGAGTCACACCAAATATTTAGGATTATGTTGTTGAAAGACTTGCATAGAAATGATGTGAAAACAAAAGTATAGAAAACAATAGCATCTTGTGAAAGTAGTTGTAAATAAAAATGCACTCCAACTCCTAAACAATGCCCTCATTCTTCCATGCCTCAATCATGGGGTGGAAGTTTGGGGGAATAATTATAAACGTATAATTCAACCCATCAAACAGCTGTCAGAGTTGTTGGCTATGCAGGTTATGTTAGTAATAACTTAGTTATTAACAAATCCCATGTTCAACTCTAAACTACATGAACTGATCTCAGTACGGCTGTTACGTAAAAGGTCCATAGCCACACTCAGACTCTGGCTACAGTTGAAGAGGAACCCGTGTTTACCCAAAAACAGACTTGGAACCAGGGCCGGTTCTAGCATTGTGGGGGCCCTATGCAAGATAATGTTCTGGGCACCCTTATTTAAACTGCAATTGATGATCTACAAACACCATTAATTGTCGCAAATTTTAAGCAAAACAGTATTAAAACACTCATTCAAGTAATATAAATAAAAACTAGAAAGCAGTCATAGTGCAGATCTTTACCCTGGGAGGGGTGTTCACATCACACATACCATAATAAAGGGGCTAAGTGCATGTGAACGAGTACAACAACTGTTTAAGATTCCTGTATCAAGACATTGGTGAAGATCACAATTTTTCTGATGGTCTTAGATCTAATTATTTTGAGTATAACTCTGGTTTTATTGGTCTATAAACATTTAAAGCTGGTGTGTGGTTTATTATTGGGATTTTAAACCAAAACAGTATGTTATAATTAATAAAGCATTTAATTTTTCTTCAGAAATTTCTGAATAGAAAATTTACATGACGAAAAATCTGAAATGGCAGAAAATGTATGACAACTACCTTGTATTGATTAATTTACACATACAGCTTTCAGTGTCTGAGTTTCCGTAGATATTGTCTGTCAATGTTCAGGTGCTTTTAGCTGCTGTGGTATTCTGCAGAGCGGTTCTTGTCCTGCTGCAGACAAAACCCTTTCTTGCACTCTTTGCACATCCAGGGAGTGGTTTTTTTTTAATTTGCACAGAGTGGACCTGTTTCACCCCTGACCTGCCCTCTGAGCTTTGTCCATTCCTTCTCCACTGGTCCAGGAGACAGGGATGTGACCTTGAGCGGAGATCACTGAAGGGTTTTCATCCTGTGCACACTGCTGCTCCTGAAATTGTTGATGCTTCATGGCCTCCTTCTGCTACTTGTTGCTGATTTGTTGTGGAGCTGGTGGTAAGAGGAAGCTGATAGCCAGGGGTTCTTCTGGGGATAAATCTGGGTGTCGTGGGTCGACGGTACCTGGGTCTGACTTTGTTGTCCAGGAGTCCAGAAGATGTGGAGCATCTCCAGCAGCATCCTGTCTCTGACAGTCTATTGCTGGTGATGGTGGATGGTTCTTCATCAGAAGAATCTCTAAAATTATAAATACATCAGATTTTATGAAACATACTCAAGTGGTAAATACTAGAAAATGAAAAAACATGTATAAACTACAGAAGTAAAGCTAGAAATAGATTTGAACTGTTGATAAATACTGCAGCTGTGATGGCAAATCATCTTCATCCACACCTGAATCCTCAACCACAGATGTACACGGACTTTGTTTTCCTGGAAGTAGCAGTGTCAAGTTTCTCTCCGTTCAGCTTCGGTCCAAACTTGAAAAAGGACTCGATCCACCAAAAAAAATTAAGCTAGGAAACAACTGTCACGAACAGAACTCAGAAGACCCGTAATGACGCCAAACACAGTAAAAGTATTTAAAAAGAATGTTTTTTTTTTTTTTGTGGAGTTACCAGAAGAGGGCGAGGCAGGAGACAGAGTTGGAGTGCAGGCGTGAGTCAAAACCAGATCGGCACAAGCAGGTACAGGGAGCAGGATGGAGACGTGGTAGAAGACAGGCGAGGGACGTGATGGCAGGCAGAGTTCAAGGCAGGGGTCAGGAGAAATAACAAGGTCCGGAGGCAAAGATCAGGCAGGGTGGGTGGCTGGAGAACTTACTGGCACAAAGTTTTCAATAATCTGGTAGAAACTGGATAGGTGGATGGTTCTTTTATAGCAGGGGAAGCAGGCGTGTGAGATGAGCTGAGGAGTCAGGAGCAGGTGAAGTGGATGAAGGCTGATTACAGGAACAGGTGAGACGAATGAAGTTGATTGTGATGCTGACTGAGGTTGCTAGGGAAAACGGCTGGAGCTTGGTGAGGGGACCAGGTAAGCTGAATGAAGGCTGAAAAATGAGTCATGACAACAACTCATTTCCTCGTCTCAATTTATTTGAGGTAATCAGGTTGAAAACCTTCAAACAGAAACAGATTTAAACAATTACAATAATTTACTCGTTCTGGTTGTATCTAATAATGCTAATTTAATAATGATTTTACATTTACAGTCCAAATAACGTATCATCCACTGCATTTCAAATACTATTTTAAATCTAATCTAAGCAGGTAATTTCATTTAACTTTGTTCAACAGTAGAATGTTGTCAGTATCATGCCAGTAGCCTCCTTGTGGTTTCCCCCAAGCTGAACAGTTTTTTGCTGTGTCCACTGATTCCTTCTGCAGACAGGTGCTCTCACTCAGCTGATGAGCTGATCAGACAGGAACTTCTTTAGTAGGGAGGGTGGTGATGTTCCTCAGCTTCCAGGGGGAGCCATTATTGACTGACTGACTGATCTGACATTGCGACTTTGAGCCTGACGAGCAGTAATAGTATAAAATAGTATAGTAATAGTTTTAGCGGAAATACTAGACAACAGAAACTGGAACGGGTTAAGTGCAGAGATACTGCATTTGGGATGGAAAAACAATGTGGGCACATCTTGCTCCTCATCCACAACTTTTGAGGGAAGTTTCCTCTTTCTAGAAGGTTTCCTGGTTTCTGGTTTATTTACAAAAACAAATCTAACCTCTCCCTGGGCTGCCACCTTACCGTGGTGGAGGGGTTTGAGTGTCTCATTGATCCTAGGAGCCAAGTTGTCTGAGGCTTTCTGCCTCTGGTAGGGTCACCCCTGGCAAACAGGTCTTAGGTGAGGGATCAGACAAAGAGCAGCCCGAAGACCTCTTATGATGAAATATATAAATGGAAACCGTGCTTCCTCGCCCGGAAGTGGGTATCCGGGGGCCCCCTCTGGAGCCAGGCCTGGAGGTGGGGCACGTTGGCGAGCGCCTGGTGGCCGGGCTTTCACCCATGGAGCCCGGCCGCGCACAGCCCGAAGAGGAAACGTGGGTCCCCCTTCCCATGGGCTCACCACTCGTGAGAGGGGCCAAAGGGGTCGGAAGCAGTGTGTGACAGGTGGTAGTCGAGGGCGGGGACCTTGGCGGTCTGATCCTCGGCTACAGAAGCTGGCTCTTGGCACATGGAATGTCACCTCTCTGGTGGGGAAGGAGCCCGAGTTGGTGTGTGAGGTTGAGAGGTTCCGACTAGATATAGTCGGACTCACCTCAACACATGGCTCTGGCTCTGGAAGCAGTTTCCTTGAGAGGGGTTGGACTTTCTACCACTCTGGAGTTGCTCCCACTGAGAGGCGCCGAGCAGGGGTGGGCACACTGGACTTACGTCTAATTTCTCACCTCATTCAAATGCTGTGCTGAAAGTTAGGGATCTTTATCATCCAGCCCTCATGAGAATCAACTAAAACATCTAAAAACATCTTTTAGAGCCAGATTTATGGTCAAATTAACACATTCATTTCTGAACTGACCTCTAACTGATCTGGGGAACATTTCTTTGCCGTTTGACTGATTTTTAAACAAACTGGTCTTAGATTTGAATCTAATTGCTCACTCTTTGTTTTTCTTTACAAAGGTCTTTCTCCGACTTCTCTGATTGGCCAGTCTGCAGATTGACTGATTGTCTTAAGCACCGCCTCCTCCGGACACTGCTATGTCTTCAAACATCAACATCTCCCCAGAAAACCCGTACGGTCAGGTGACTATTCCAAGGGCAAAGCTGCACCGTCCCTCTGAAGAAATCGGAACGGTGATTTACAATCCGATGACTCTGAATAGCGAGAACCCGTATGCGGAGAAGAGCTCTGCGCCCCCACCATATACAGTCAAAGAAGACGATGGAGGGGAGGAGGAAATGGGTCGCTGCCCTGCATGCTGTTACCGCTGCCGCAGGAGGAAGTGAAATCGTCATGGCAGGAGAACCGTTTCAATGCCTCTCCATCTGCTCGGTGCCAATCAAACTGACCAATTCTGCCAGAATTCAACAGGACCCATGCAGAACCAACTACACACAGAACATCCGTGTTCCCAGAGCTTTAAAGAACGTGGAAAACCTTAGGACCACAGAATCCAGAAGAATGTTGGGACATTGTTTTAGGGATCCTGGGGCCTCTGAGAAGCTTAGAGAACCTGTAGACTGCTGAGTGTCTGATGGTCTTTTTGACTCCGTTTCCCTTTTCAGGTACAACCCTGTCGCAGTTCTGGTGTTGGAAGGATTCAAGGATTGCGGCTGAAAAGTTGCTGATATCATGTCTGCTCATGTTCAAACGTTAGGAGTCATATGCCACCTTCTATGTTCCAGGCAATCCCGTTAGAAACCCTTTCAGGCCCTCCTTCCACCGCTAAGCATGTTGAGACAAAAACAAAAGCTGCTTCATATTTAATCTTGATGATTTTTTACAATCTGATAATTGAACCCGAAATCTTTTGAGCAAATGATGAAGTGATGAATGTTGTTGCTGTGAAAGGAAAAGTTTTTTGTTTTAAAAATAAATTATTCTTTTGTAGAAATTTCTGTTTCTCACCTGAAAGAATTTGGAGATGTGTTTGAATTTGACATGTTCAGACCCAGAAAATGTTTTTTCCACTAAGTATTTATATTTTTCTTACAATGATTATGAAAAATTATGAAGGAGTTAGTCATATGAAGCGTATAAATAAAAAGAACATTTGCACATCAGTCTGTTCAGTTCAGCTGAAGTCTACTTAGCTTAGGATCAGGGTCAGAGAACCACAAGAACTCTGACCCTGAGGAGTGAGCACCACCTCACCCCTGCCACGTGGACCTCGAGGGATAAACCATCAACCCTGCTCAATGGTCAACTTTCCTCGTGGGGTCACCCATGAAGACAGTGGGAGGGTTAATAATGATTTATTATCAGTTACATTCACATATTAATATCAGTGTATTAACTATTTACTTCACATATTAAATGAAATAAGCTTTCTAAGTGTCTCAGAAAGGAGAGTGTCTGTCTCTTGGTAAACACCTTTACAAATTTCTCACATATGGTTGGTCCAAAGTTTATAAACAACCAATTCTTAAAAGGCAAATCGCTTCCTATATTCCCCAGTTCAGCCGGAGACCCAGTTTGTACAAAATTACCATCCTTAGTGGGATTAAACCAAATCTTTCAGTGGAATAATTTTAGCAAACTTAAAGAATCATTCTTTTCCATAATCAATTATCTGCTCAATCCACTACCAACTCAGACAAGAGGTCTGCCAGAAGCACCTGGGAAGTATCTTCTGACCAGTCGTGCCCATTAAGGTGGAAGTTGCATAAATCCTGCTTAACCGCTCTGCTAACTGATTGTTGTCCTCAGCGGGGGGCTTTGGGTTCCTAGTTGGTAATTAAGCTCTCTCCAGACAGAAGCAGGGTCACTGGAGGAGAAACGCTGCTCCAGACCCTTATAATATTTAGCTTTAGCCTTTTGCACCTTTTTGATAAACATACTTGGAACGCTTGTAGCTTCCACCATCTCCTGCTTTGTAAGCCTTCTCTTTTTCCTTCCTCAGATGCCTCAGTCTGGGTGTGAACCAGGGTTTATCGTTATTAAGTCACCTTGGTGTATGATGGGATGATGCTGTTTTTGCAGAACTGAATGTACGATGCCATAATTTCTATGTATTCATCCAAACCTCCTGCAGCAGCCTTACAGACCTCCCAGTCTGTGCACAGCTCCTCCACAGCCTCGCTGGTCCACTTCTTAGAAGTCCTCACAGTGGGTTTGGAGCATGTCAGCCATTGTTTAAATGCCTAATGAGATGAACCGTAACGTGGTCAGAAAGCCGCCCGTGGCACCGCTCTATAGGCTCCACTGACTGTTGTGTGACAGGGATCCAGCGTCCTTCGCTCTCTCGTTGGCCATTTAATTAACTGTTTGTACTTTGGTAGCTCTTGGGACAGATTATCTTTGTTAAAATCTCCCAAGATGATCAATAAATAGTCTGGAAAAGTTTGCTCAGCGTTCAGTATTTGATCCTCAAGCACGCGTTGTGGGATGTAGGCCGCGACCAAAATGAATGAAGCGAACTCACGTGGAGAAGAGAAAGGCTTACAGTTTATGAAGAGGTATTCCACTGAGGGAGAGCAGTGTTGGGAGATCACGGTCACATCCATGCACCAGGCGTTGTTGATGTAGAAGCAGACACCTCCACCTCTTATCTTTCCTCCTGAGAGTCCCTGATGTCTGTCCGCTGGAATCCCTCCAGGTGGAGTGCGCAGTCTGGGATACGCTCATTGAGCCATGTCTCCGTGAAGCACCAGACGCAAGAGGTTAAGTCCCTGTTCCTCCTCATCAGCAGCGCTAGTTCATCCATCTTGTTGCAGAGTGAGCAAATGCTAGAGAGCAAAATCCCAGGAAGCGGTGTCCAAGCACCGGGTCTACGAAGGCGCACCAGGACCCCGTCGTCGGCATCTCACTCCTTTTGCCATAAAGTTTACTAAATTAACTGCAGGAGCTAAACCACCTGACAGTAGATCAGCAGGAGTGGTTGTCCGGATGTTTAGGAGAACTTCACGGGTGTAGGAGCCCGCAGACACGCAATTTACACACAAAAACAGACAAAACACCGCGTACCAAATCACCAGGGCAGCCATGCGTGGCGCCATCTTGGATCAATCACATCAGAGTTACTGCTTTGGAGGATGAGTTCGCTGCTGCTGCAGTTGACATTAAACCACCTTTGCCACATTATCTGGGTGAGTTAAAGACCCTTGCTACCAGTAGTGGGCAAAGATATGAAGAAGTGTTAGAAACAGTTATGTCACGGATCGGTTCTTACCTGAAAATGGAGGAAGATGAGGGAGAAGAAGGTGATGACAGCAACAGTGAAGAGAAGACCATGAGGAACCCAGTCTGTACCAAGGCTCAGAGCTGCACCCATGAGCTCTCTCTCTCTCCCCCTGAGCCTGAGATTAGTGGACTCAGTGGTCTCCTTCAAAAAGCAGCTGAAAACTCACCTGTCCAAGATGGCTTTGTGTGGCAAGGTGGAGAAACGAGGGCCCGGGCGGGATTCGATCCTCAGACTCCCAGGTGAGAGCCATACGCTCTAACCAGTCAGCCAAAGGGACATCCCCTTGGCCAAGTAGCCAGGGCGCATGATCAATCGGGACATTGTGACAGTACACTCACACTGTCACATCTTCCCCCCTCTTTCCACAAGCACGTCCTCGTGCTCCCGTGCAGGGTGCCACAAACTTCACATCCATGGACCTACTTGACAGTACTACATGGATCCTGCCAACAATGCCAAATGTGGCATGGTGGAGAAACAAGGGCCCGGGCGGGTTTCGATCCACAGACTCCCGGGTGAGAGATTACGCGCGCTAACCAGTCAGCCAAAGGGACATCCCCTTGGCCAAGTAGCCAGGGCGTAGGGTCAATTGGGACATTGTGACAGGACACTCACACTGCCACATCTGCATTACCTTCTTCACCACCCTCTCCTTATTCGTGATTTGTTCAAGGCCTCTCTGGTTGCTTATCAGGATGCTGTGAGGGTCACTAGAACTGCCTTTTTTTCTGCAGACATCATTCAAACAAACTCTAAGAATCCTAAGATTCACTACAAAACACTGAACTCTGTCCTGGTCTATCAGGAGCTTCATGTCTCCAACAACAGCTGGAAACTTTGAAGATTTTCACAAATTTTTCGTTCACAAAGTATCGGACGTTACAGCAGCTATTTCTGGTACCTCTATTGACCCTGTTCCAGTTCTTCCATCACCACCCACCCTGAGCTCCCTCAATACCGTTTCTTACTCAGAGCTGAGAAGGCTTGTCGCAAGGCAGAAGCCATCTGGCTCTCCACTTGAGGTTCTGCCCTTCAACTTTTTATCAATTTGAACCACTGACTCTGGATTGCCTGTGGTAGATCGTGGAACCCTTAAAACCCTCAGGTTCTCCTACTGATGTGATTCCACCCCGCCTCTTTAAGGAGCTTTTTTCGTCTTTGGGTCTTTGGGTTCTTACCGTGGTTAATAGTAGCCTTTCATCTGGTGTGGTTCCAGAATCTTGGAAACATGCTGTTGTTCAGCCACTACTTAAGAAGCCCAGTCTTGACCCCTCTACTGTGTCTAATTATAGGCCTATTTCAAAACTTCCATTCCTTTCAAAGGTTCTGGAAAAGGTGGTGTATTTGCAGTTGACGGAGTTTTTGCATGCAAATGATATTTGTGAAAAATTCCAGTCAGGTTTTAAGAAGGCACATAGCACAGAGACTGCACTGCTCAGGTTCTTAAACGACATTCTTTTAGCAACTGACTGGTGATTTTGTGGTTCTGGTACAGTTGGATTTGTCTGCTGCCTTTGACACCGTGGATCACAGTCTCCTGATTTCACGGATACAAAAGTCTGTTGGGATTAAAGGAGTTGCTTTGGACTGGTTTAAGTCCATTTTGGCTGAGAGGTCATTTTGTGTATCATTAGGTGGCTTCACGTCATCTCGCTCGCCTCTCGTATGCGGGTTCCTCAAGGATCGGTGCTGGGCCCGTTGCTGTTCTCTCTTTATTTGTTACCTCTGGGTTCTATTTTTACGAAACATGGATGTTCTTTTCATCTATATGCAGATGACACCCAGGTTTATATTCCCATTAAACGTGGCCTACCCAATTCTTTAGATCCTCTTCTAAACTGCCTTGATGAGGTTAAAACCTGGATGTCTGCAAATTTTTTACATTTTAATAATGACAAGACTGAGGTCATGCTTTTTGGTCCTAGTGTGTCCAGTGGGCCATGTTCTGCTGACCTTGGTCCACTAGCCCTATTTTTGAAACCTGTAGCGACCAGTCTGGGAATCTGGCTTGACAGTGATCTGCTTCTGGAAAAGCAAATCAGTGCCGTCACCAAAGCCAGTTTTTATCAGTTAAGGAGGATCGCCAAGGTTAAGCGTCTGCTCTCAAGTCATGACTTTGAGATGGTGATTCACACATTTATTACATCACGTCTAGACTATTGCAACGCACTGTACCTTGGTCTTCCTCAGTCTCACCTGTCCCGTCTTCAAATGGTGCAAAATGCAGCAGCACGCCTCGAGAAAGAGGGAGCACATTACCCCAATTTTAGCTTCACTGCACTGGCTGCCTGTGGATTTTAGGGTCCAGTACAAGGTTCTTTTATTGGCTTTTAAAGCTGTACATGGCCTTGCTCCGCAGTATCTTCGTGAACTTTTAGTTGCTCACTCCCCGTCTCTGTCAGGGGCGGATTTAGGACTGAAGAAGATCCGGGGCTTAACACACACACGCACGCGCGCGCACACACACACGCACACACGTGACACGCACTAGTCAACATCATACATGTCTTGAACCACATAATTTTTAATCTGAAACTACATATTAAGCATTTTCAGGGCAGAGTATTGTTCCTGTTAGTGTTTAGTGTGAGATGATAGTAAATATTCCCTTTCTTTCTCCAACAACGTTACCTGATAGTAAGCTAACTTTAGGCAAACCAGCAGCACAACAAATATTTTCAAATAAGACTCACAAACCTGATTCAACACCAGTCTCATCAAAGCTGGGGTTCTGTCGCCGTACTTTTTGTCTAAAAAACATCCTTATGTCCATCTTCACTCATGCGTTCCAGGCAGTGTAGAAGAAGCCAGCTGCTGAAGGGCTTCTTCTTCAGTGGTGGAGGCTCAGGCAGGCTGTATACAAACTACTGCCAGCTGCTCCCTCTCTGTTGGACTTTGGTACTGCATGTTACTTCCGCGATTTAGATCCGGGGCTTTTCATAAAACATCCAGGGCTTCAGCCCAAGTAGCCCGGCCTAACGCCGCCCCTGGTCTCGGTCACTGAGGTCAGCCAACCAGTTTCTCCTGGAGGTGCAGAGAACAAAGAGAAAGCTCAGGGGTGATAGAGCTTTCTCAGTAGCAGCTCCAAGGTTGTGGATTGCATTCCCAATCCAGATTAGGATGGTTTTGTCACTGTCGGGTTTTAAATCACTTTTAAAGACTCATCTGTGCTCAGTTGCTTTTAATTCAGTTTGAGAATGCATCTGTTTTTAGTATCTTTTATGTCAGTTTGATATGTTTGTTTTCATCATGTTTTTACTTTGTGATGAACTTTTTATCTTATTTTTAGAATTTTTAGGAAACTTCTGTTCTTTTTGGCTTGTTAAGCACTTTGGTCAGCTTTTATGCTGTTGTAAAGTGCTTTATAAATAAAGTTGACTTGACTTCTGCCGCCTCGTCTCTGGAAGGCTGCCTTTCCGTGTCTTGGCCCATCACTTGGTCAGATTATCAATGGGAGCCTCAGCACAGGTGTGGTCCCAGCTGCTTTGAAAGCAGCAGTTGTTCGGCCGACCCTGAATAAACCTGGTGCTGATGTCTCTGTGATCGAAAATTACAGGCCTATCTCTACCCTGCCTTTTACATTGAATTTGCTTGAGAAAGTCGTTTATCAGCAGCTGGTCTCACATTTAGCTGACTCTGATCTGTTTGAGGTTTTTCAATCAGGGTTCAGGTCTGGCCATAGCACAGAGTCAGCTCTTCTGAGGGTCTTAAATGATATCTATCTATCACTAGATCAGGGTACATCTGTGGTGCTTCTGTTGTTAGATCTGACGGCAGCTTTTGACACGGTTGACCACATGATTCTGCTTGATCACTTGGAACAATGGGTTGGGATCAAAGGGTCTGCTCTGGATTGGTTTAGATCGGGGGTCGGCAACCCGTGGCTCTGGAGCCGCATGCGGCTCTTCCATCCATCTGATGTGGCTCTCTGTGCTTGTAAAATAATGAATGGATATTTAAATAAAATGCTTTATATTTTACTGCATTAATTTTACATCTGTATGCCAATTCTAAATGTAAAGATTGTCTGCATAAACCTGAACAGTTACAACCCGGTCTTACTGTGAGACCGGGTTGACGGGTCACGCTTGTGCGTAATCATAGGCGCTTTCTGAGCTGAAGAGGATGTGAGATTCTGGGATTCTCCTCAGACGGCTCCTGGATGTGTCGCCACATTGGAGACAGGAACAAGCACTATTCAGCCAAAGTTTCATAGTCAGGGAACATTTTCTAAGTGACAAGTCTCGCTTCAGTGGGAGGAATCTTTCCACATGCGCTCTGGTTCTGCGACGTGCTCCAAGCCCCTCTCCACATCTTCAGCTCACTGTGGACCTTATGTAGTACGCGCTGACAGTGAGCTGCGCTGAGCAGTGTCCAGCTCAGATGTTCAGATGGGAATCTTTTCTTGAGTGGTTTAGCTACATCTGCGATGTGCGAAACAAATAAAATGTCAGTTCTTCTGCATGCGTCGGGGTAATTCTTTCTATTCTTTCTCCGTCAAAATAAACGGTCAAATACGGGAACTATCCGGTCAACACAAGCCCTGCTTTTAACTGTTCTGTTTTCTTGTGAAAATTGTTGCAAAGAGATATAATTTAACTTGATTACCACCAGAGCCAGGCGCACTGCCATTATCTCCGTCGCTGTAAATGAGGGAAAAACAAAATGATCGGATCCTTTTCTGACCTTCCCCACCTACAAAGTTTAATTACAACAATAAAACGTGACAGAGCCTGGATTTGTATTCTGAACAGTCTAAACATGCTTTAAAAAGAAACGTATGACAAAAGTGGCACCTGCTCAGTAAAACCACCAACAGGGTGAAAAATATCAAAATATTGTAGGCAGAGACGTGCTACAACTTCTGGATCCATTTTATATAGATCGTTTTATTGATTATCTTCTTATGAAAGACAACTTTGACGTACACGAGCGACTGGTACTGGCTGCTGTCACCTGTTGTGATTGGTTAAAGCAGCTCTCTGCTGTCTGACGGTAGGCCCCGCCCACAACGCCGCGGCTGCTGTGGCTCCCAGTGTTTTCTTTACTGTGGGAAACGGGTAATAATGGCTCTTTGATGGGAACAGGTTGCTGACCCCTGGTTTAGATCGCATCTCCACAACAGGACATTCTGTGTTAAACTGGGTGATGCCCTTTCTTCTTGGGAGGGGCTCCACTGGGGGGTCCCGCAGGGATCGATCCTTGGTCCTCTGTTGTTTGCCATTTATTTGCTTCCTCTGGGGTCAATCTTTCGTAAACATGGCCTAGCATTCCATCTATGTGCTGATGATTGCCAGATTTACTCTCCATTGTGTCATGAGAAAGGTCTCTCTATCCAGTCCTTTGTGTCCTGTCATAACGAGGTGAAGTCTTGACTAATGGCCAACTATCTGCATCTAAATGAGGGAAAGACAGAGCTCATTGTTTTTCACCCCAACAGCAGGGCCGTGGGTTGTTATGTTGATCTCGGCCATAGCTAGAGTGCGGGTCCCCGTCCATTAAGATGAAACCCATCTGCCCCAAACAGATGACTCCTGCCCCAGAAAATGTTCAAATTGTCTACAAAACCAAATTTATGCAACTCGGTGACAGGAAAGCGTTGCAGAAGTGCCTGGCAGATCCGCTGTTTGAAGCTCGGCAGAGCATCTTGGAGTTGCAGTTGGAGCCGATGACTCGTTTCGTTGGTTGACTCATGTGGTTCAATAAAAGCATTTTATGCAACAGTGTGTCATTCATCCATTCACACCGATCAGCCCTTTCTCACCCATGAGCATCTGACTGCTTTTAGACCATCCTGATCACTCAGATTGATTGTGTGTGACGATATTTATGTTTGTTTTAGGTGTGATTATTTTCATCTTGTTGGAAAATGTTTCTTTACATAGTTGGTTCTCCTGTAGCCTCTTGGCCAGGTCATTGCTGGGTTCTCAATCCACTCACCTGCTTAAATTGGGATAAAATAATTAATTCATACTTGTGACCCAAGTTCTACATGATAACTAAAAATGTGTAGATGGATGAAAACATGGATGAGTTTCTCTTGCAAACTGGAGACAAATAAACATAAATGTGAATGAAAGTCTGTGAAAATTAAACCAGATACCAAAGCAAATATATCTGAAAGACTGCTGGAGAACAATAACTGGTGGTGTGTGTGCAACACAGTGTTTGTATGTTTGAAATGTGTGTGTGTTACTGTTACTAGGCAACAATGATCTGTTCAGGCTGAGGTGTCATCTAATAGGCAGATGCCTGGAGAAACCTGAGATAAGCTATGCTGATCGGGTTTAGCAGTGATGGTTGCTGTTTTTCACATTTAAAGTCTAAGTTCACAGACCCAAGTGGCAGGGCAGTGGGGCGTCTGGGGCGGGTGGATGGATGGTTCACAGACCAATTTTAAAATGCTTTTGAAATGTTTAGTCTTTTATATGAAAACGTTTGCCTTTGTTTTACAATGCTCAGGTTGGACTGATGATTTACACGTTATTGATTAGTAGTTTTTTCCTTCCTTTTCAGCACATTTATTTTCTAATAGTTTCAATAATGAAACCCATTTGTGTCCACTGGCTGAGTGAGGCTGAATTATTGATGGTGAGTCTCTGACGTAGCAGGAAAACCAACAGAGGAGGATGAATGCAAGAGAAGAGAGAGAAGAGAGAGTGGAGGAGAAATAGACCGAAGAAAAAAAATCCAAAAAGAACTAAAGAGAAAAAACAAGTGAAAGAGAAGTAACGGGACCAATATGCCACAAAAGGAGAATAACTGAGGATGAAGTAAATAAAAGAAAGAAGAAAAGAATTGTGAGGAGAAGAGAGGACAAAACAAGAAACGACTACAAGAAAATAGGAAAAAGGAAATGTGAAGAAAAAACATGTCAGGTCAGTTTTAGTGTCGCCTAGTCCAACTTAGTGATTGGCTATCCCAGTATAGTCCTGTTGTTGCTGTTGATGTTGTTGATGTTGTTTTTGATGATGTTGTTAATATTGATGATATTGTTGATATTGACGATATTGATGATGTTGATGATGATGTTGATATTGATGATATTGTTGATATTGACAATATTGATGATGTTGTTGATATTTATGATATTGTTGATATTGTTGATATTGATGATATTGATGATGTTGACAATATTGATGATGTTGATGATGATGATGATGATGATGATGTTGATATTGATTATATTGATGATGTTGTTGACATTTATGATATTGTTGATATTGTTGATATTGACGATATTGATGATGTTGATGATGATGATGATGATGATGATGTTGTTGATATTGACGATATTGATGATGTTGTTGACGTTTATGATATTGTTGATATTGTTGATGTTGACGATATTGATGATGTTGATGAAGATGATGATGTTGATATTGATGATATTGATGATATTGACAATATTGAAGATGTTGTTGATATTGACGATATTGATGATGTTGTTGATATTGACGATATTGATAATATTGTTTATATTGACGATATTGATGATGTTGATGATGATGATGATGATGATGATGATGTTGTTGATATTGTTGATATTGATGATATTGATTATATTGATGATGTTGATGATGATGATGATGATGATGATGATGTTGATATTGATGATATTGATGATATTGTTGACATTGACAATATTGATGATGTTTTTGATATTGACGATATTGACGATATTGATGATGTTGATGATGATGATGTTGATACTGATGATATTGTTGATATTGACAATATTGATGATGTTGTTGATATTGACGATGTTGATGATGTTGTTGATATTGACGATATTGATAATATTGTTGATAATGACGATATTGATGATGTTGATGTTGATGATGATGATGATGATGATGATGTTGATTTTGATGATATTGTTGATATTGACGATATTGATGATATTGATGATGTTGATGATGATGATGATGATGTTGATATTGATGATATTGATGATATTGTTGACATTGACAACATTGATGATGTTTTTGATATTGACGATATTGACGATATTGATGATGTTGATGATGATGATGATGATGTTGATATTGATGATATTGTTGATATTGATGATGTTGTTGACATTGACGATATTGATGATGTTGATGATGATGATGATGATGATGATGATGATGATGATGATGATATTGATGATATTGGTGATATTGACATTATTGATGATGTTGTTGATATTTATGATAGTGTTGATATTGTTGATATTGATGATGTTGATGTTTATGATGTTGTTGATATTGATGATATTGTTGATATTGACGATACTGATGATGTTGATTATGATGATGATGTTGATATTTATGATATTGATGATATTGTTGATATTGACAATATTGATGATGTTGTTGACATTGACAATATTGATGATGTTGTTGATATTTATGATATTTATGATATTGTTGATATTGACGATATTGATAATATTGTTGATATTGACGATATTGATGATGATGATGATGTTGTTGATATTGATGATATTGTTGATATTGACGATATTGATGACATTGATGATGTTGATGATGATGATGATGATGATGATGATGATGATAATGATGATGATGATGTTGATATTGATGATATTGATGATATTGTTGACATAGACAATATTGATGATGTTGTTGATATTGATGATATTGATGATGTTGATGATGTTGATGATGATGATGATGATGTTGATATTGATGATATTGTTGATATTGACAATATTGAAGATGTTGTTGATATTTATGATATTGTTGATAAGAAAACACTGGGAGCCACAGCAGCCGCTGCGTTGTGGGCGGGGCCTACCCTCAGACAGCAGAGAGCTGCTTTAACCAATCACAACAGGTGACAGCAGCCAGTACCGGTCGCTCGTGTACATCAAAGTTATCTTTCATAAGACGATAATCAATAAAATGATTTATATAAAATGGATCCAGAAGTTGTAGCCCGTCTCTGCCTTCAATATTTTGATATCTTTCACCCTGTTGGTGGTTTTACTGAGCAGGTGCCCCTTTTGTCATACGTTTCTTTTAAAAACATGTTTAGACTGTTCAGAATACAAATCCAGGCTCTGTCACGTCTGATTGTTGTAATTAAACTTTGTAGGTGGGGAAGGTCAGAAAAGGATCCGATCATTTTGTTTTTTCCTCATTTACAGTGACGGAGATAACGGTGCAGTGTGCCTGGCTCTGGTGTTAATCAAGTTAAATTATATCTCTTTGCAACACTTTTCACAAGAAAACAGAACAGTTAAAAGCAGGGCTTGTGTTGACTGGATAGTTCCCGTATTTGACCGTTTATTTTGACGGAGAAAGAATAGAAAGAATTACCCCGACGCATGCAGACGAACTGACATTTTATTCGTTTCGCACATTGCAGATGTAGCTAAATCACTCAGGAAAAGATTCCCATCTGAACATCTGAGCTGGACACTGCTCAGCGCAGCTCACTGTCAGTGTGTACTACATAAGGTCCACAGCGAGCTGAAGATGTGGAGAGGGGCTTGGAGCGCGTCGCAGAACCAGAGCGCATGCGGAAAGATTCCTCCGACTGAAGCGAGACTTGTCACTTAGAAAATGTTCCCTGATTATGAAACTTTGGCTGAATAGCGCTTGTTCCTGTCTCCAATGTGGCGACACATCCAGGAGCCGTCTGAGGAGAAGCCCAGAATCTCACATCCTCGTCAGCTCAGAAAGCGCCTATGATTAGGCACAAGCGTGACCCGTCAACCCGGTCTCACAGTAAGACCGGGTTGTAACTGTTCAGGTTTATGCAGACAATCTTTACATTTAGAATTGGCATACAGATGTAAAATTAATGCAGTAAAATATAAAGCATTTTATTTAAATATCCATTCATTATTTTACAAGCACAGAGAGCCACATCAGATGGATGGAAGAGCCGCATGCAGCTCCAGAGCCGCGGGTTGCCGACCTCCGACTTACATGAATGCAGACATACATGCATACACAAAAACAGGGAGTGGTATCACAGGAAGACTTGTCGGGTGGTCCTTTTCTAGAATGGTGGTGTCTGTGATGGGGCTTGGGACAAGGTTTTTGGTGATGGGCCTCTGAATGACAGCCTTAGGGTTTAGGGGCCCTTGCTATCTTTGTTTTCCTGGGGGATGTTCAAGGTAGGATCACATGGTGCCCCTTTTCTCATTTGTACTTAAGGATCATGCCTGCTGTTGATTACTGTTTTGAGTCTGGCATTAGTGGGGCCCTTCGGGTGGTGTGGATCCTCCTTCTTTGGCGACTGCGCTGCTGGAGGTCCATCTCTCCTGTCTAGTCTTTATTCTTAAGTGTTTGATGATCTTTAATGTTTAGTTGGAAACATGTGAGGCTTCATTTATCAAACATACTTACGCACAGATCTGTGTGCATTTCGTGCATAGGAACAAATCTACGCATTGTGTGGGTTTTATCATTTTGTACTTGTGCGTAGAAACGTTCGTAAATTTAAGAACATCTCTAATTGTGCGTTCTAAGAGAATTTAGTGGCAGGACGGAGAAATGCAATACCGGATGTCTCCAAATGTGTTTCTCATTCACAAATTTTATTTATCCGGTATGTAATTTTGTCAGTGGAAAAACTGCATTTTCGCATAATTGGTGCAAAAACCAATAAAAGACACGTGTGACCGACGGAAATCTGACATTATATCATGGCTGTTCTGTGTTATTGGAGGATTTACCAGAAGGTGCACACTGGAGGGAACACGTTCTCCATGAGCGCTCTGATCTCAAAGGAAATGCTTCTGCTGTGCTGGGATTTGGGACCCTTTGTAGAGCTACAGATAAACCTCACAAATCAGATTCCAGTTCATATTTTATTGTACAACTACGAGAACCCCCCAGAACCTCCTCTGCTCCCTGATCATACACACAACCAGAGAGGATGACAGCTCAGAAGAGGCTGAGGCTGAACTCTCAGACATTTCCAAATAAAACTGACTCCACACAGAACGTCTCCTTAACAACCCGTTACGCCACCATTTATCAGATCATTTCTGACAGGAACCTCTCCTCTGTTCCAACTGCGTTTATAACCTCTGCAACTTGTTTGGTTCTTGTGCGCTTCCGCAGTCAGTGTTTAGATCTTGCTGCCAATAAAGTTTTCTTTTTTTTTTTTTTGGGAAAAAACAGGGAATCCCCTCACGTGCTGAGGACGTAGAGTGACCAAATATGGTTAATTGAGGGCGTTTCTGTATGTAAATGATGGTGAACGGACATGAGCACCTGGGTACGCACAGGTGGGATTTATCATCAGACGATTGTGGAGGAATGTGCGTACGAGAGGCCACCACACGCTTCATAAATCAGTCTTTTAACTGTCCGTAAACACATTCTAAATTTCGGTCATAGGAGGGGATATAGGACAGTTTCTACGAACGTTTGATAAATGAGGCCCCTGGATTTTTCTTGTTTTCCTTGAAGACAAGTCAACTCCTACAGGGTAGCCTTGAGCCCCATTCCCACCTGTACCGGGTCGGCCCGGGCCGGGTAGCGTAGGTTGTTTACATATCTGGGTGGCCTGGAATTTTCCCAGGCCAACCGAGGCTCATTCTCAGCCCTCTTCTCGAGGGGGTCTGCTTCAGGCCGACCAGGGCCAACACACCCACTGCTGACAGCAAATTCACACCTTCCATTAGAGCAAGCCTCTGATTGGTGGGTAGAATCAGCCCACATGGGCTTAAGGCATGCTCAATTCATTATCATTCATTATCATGCTGATTACCCAGAAGCTGAAAGCGTCTCTGACTGCATTCCTTGCATACCTAAGCAAGGATGTGTGGTATCAACCGGGCCAGGCTGAGGCCGACTGGGGCCGACTGGGGCTACCCGGCCTGGGCCGACCCGGTACAGATGGGAATGGCCCATTGATGTCTCCCCAGGCAGATAAACCAAACTCTCCTCTTGAAACATGTGACCAAAACAGTGAACAGGTGGGGATTGTTGGACACCTGTTAGGACCATCAGCATAACCAGCTCAGTGGCCGAGTGGTAAAGTGTCCATCATGAGACTGGGAGAAAAGGGCTCAAATCCCGGTCAGGTGATACCAAAGACTTTAAAAAAATGAGATCCAATATCTGCCTGCTTAACACTCAGCTTTAAGGTTGAATTGGGGGGCTAAACCATCAAATAGTTCCTGAGCACGGCCACAGCTGCAGCTTACCGCTCCCCACGGGGATGGGTCACATGCAGGGGACAATTTTCACCACACCCCCAACCCGGGTCAGAACCAAACATGGTGAAGACGCTTTTAGCTACTACGCTGCTCACAGATGGAATCAGCTTCCTCCTGACCTCAGATGTGCCCCGACTCTAGAAAGTTTTAAATCACATTTGAAAACCATGTTTTCATCAGCCGTTGAAGGAATGTTCTTTTACTGCACATTCTGCACTGTAACTGCTCACCCTTTAACTTTGTATTTTCTTTTTAATTTTCAAACGTAATTAGAGTTTGTTTTACTTGTGCTGTCACATTGATTTGAATGTTCATGCTATTCTTGCTAACTGGAAAGCACAATGAATGACCTCTGTGTATGAAATGTGTTACATAAACTAAGCTGCCTTGCCTATCAGCTTGTTTGTTTCAAACCACACCTTCTTCTACTCCCAACCCAAGTTTCAGAACTGAATACGCTTTCTGGATGAGAGGAGAATCATTTTCAAGGAAAACAAGAAAAGTCCAGTTGTTTTTTGAACAAACTTTAAAGATTTTTATGTTCTCGATAATTCAATTCAATTCAAGTTTATTTATATAGCGCCAAATCACGACAAGAGTCGTCTCAAGGCACTTCATATAATAAACGTTCCAATTCACAGTTCATTAAGCCAATCAGAAATAATGTTTCCTATATAAGGAACCCAGCAAATTGCATCAAGTCACTGACTAGTGTCAGTGGCTAGTGTGGTGGCACATAGGGGGGCTGAGAAGTGTTTGATGGTAAAGCACTCGTAGCCACAGCTGTCCTGAGCCACACTTGCAAAGTAAGGCTGCCACACATTGGGCGCCAACCACCACTTGCAGGCAAGGAGGGTGAAGTCTCTTGCCCAAAGATGAGGATGGACCCAGGGTTTGAATCAAAATCCTGCTGGTTACCCCTGAGTCACCATTTCCTTGATGGCAAGATATCTCCAGCATTTGTAGAATAAGTGTTTGTGTACAGTTGATGTGTGAGGCAATCCACCATCTGCAGTCTGTAAGACTCAGACGTCCTTTCCCAGTTCTGTTCCGGTCTCATTCTAGCCTGATCAAAGTCTCAGACGTTTTCAGTAAACTGAAGCTAAAAATTAAAACTTTGGTTTTTTTTTTTCAAACAGAGAAAAAATCACGGGACAGAAATTATGAAGAGAAGGAGAAAAATGAAGTGGCCAATGACCGCCTTCCCCTTCCTCCATCTGTTGCCATGAAGATGATGACATCAACAAGAAGGCAGGACTTGGTGTGCATCGTGTGTTTTGGCAGCTACGACCTAATAACGCGGCTCCCACGGAAACTGCATTGTGGCCATTCTTTCTGCCAGGCATGTCTGAAGCGACTTGACACAGTGATCAATGACCAGGTGAATAAAGACATCATCACTCACAAGCTAGATGGATACTAATAGTTAAAGGCATTACGTAACAGGGATGAATAGCTTACTCAGGGGCGTGTCCAGGGAGTGGCCTGGGGTAGCCCCCCTATGTGCCACCACACTGAATTCCCTTTAAAAGGCTTTTCCTTGTCCACAAAAGGCTTGGTGGTAAAACAACACAAGCATAACCATTGGTGCCACCCAATTTTAAAAGATCTGGACACGCCACTGAGCTCACTGAAATAACTCTCGTGTTCTTTCTAATGATTTTTCTGCATTATTCAAGGTCAAGTTTATTCATATAGCACATTTAGAGCGACTCAATGTACCCCAAAGTGCTGAACAAGAACAGCATCAAAAAACTTGGAACCACAAGCAATAAAAAGGTAAAACTGTCAAATTAAACTATGAAAGTAAACCATTGTAAGAATAAAACACAAAGTAATGGATGAAAGACAGATCAGATGGGAAGAAACACAAACAGACATGGTTAAGCTGTTCAGGTCAACCTGCATGAACCGCTATAGAAACATTTGATCTGGGATTTGATCCCACTCAGTGCCACTAAGGCTGAAGCTTTATCTTTTTTTCATGGGAATTACAATTTTGGACAACTTATGTTTGCTAATGCTGCTGTTATTTGCAGCACTCACCACTGACTCAGGATCTGTCATGTCCACTAAATTACACATCCAAGGTTTTCCTCAGGTTATGAAGGTGTTACTGCGGTAATAGTGAGTGCTGGCGGGGGGGGTTCTGGGTAGTAGGAGCCTGATGCCTGCGCTGGCACAGTGGCGCATCGCCATGAGCTAACAAGGACTAGGGGCATTTGGTTGTTTTTCTATCTTTTTGTTTATGTCTGTTTCCCCTCTCTGTTGCTCATTGTCTGTCACTCACCATACCGTGAGTAGGACCATTGTGGGCGGGATTTACTGGCTACTACAAATGCGAAAATGGAATTTACGGTAATCCAAAGGGTTCAGATGAAGGCAACTGGACTTCTTTGGTTTCTTGAAGATGCTTCGCTGCTCATCTGAGGAGCTTCATCACTTCTAACTGGAATATGGGAGAGTCAAGCTTATAAACTGTAGCTGTTTAACAAGCAGAAATTACTCTGAATACCCCTCCTCTTCATCGCCTGATGAGTTGTTAGCCTCTACTGAGAGGGAGTCGTTGTGTTGATTAGATGCAGGAAGGTGTGACCTGGACTGAAACTGCTTAGGAATGAGATTCAAAGCTGCACTATAGGTACTGGAAAGGTGAAATCTAAGCCCCTCCCCTATTTAAAGCTTCATACGTGCTGCTGTCGCCCAAAACAGCGGTGACTTTGTTGTTTTAATCTGTTGTACTCAGAATAACCGTAGCACGATCCTTGTCTGCAGGTTCAGTTGTGATGTTCTTGTCTGTGCTGAGGGAGGAGACGGCTTTTCTTTCTTGTGGAGAGGTTAGAAGGTGGAGTCTTCACTAAAACGGACCTCGTCAGTTGGTCACTCAACGCTATTGATACAATTTTTTCAACGATGAGAACGGGAGAAGGGGCTCCCAGATGCCCCTCCAGAACAGACCCAGTTGGACACATCATGGACTCCTGGAAACAGTGGAACTTGATCTGTCTTTCTCAGCTGTCTGTGGGGGACTCTGAAGACGTGTGGATATTTGTGGTGTTGGTGTCGGGTTTCCTGCTCATTGGCCTTGGAGGCTACCTGGCTTACCGGAAAATTAATGAGTTGTCGAGGAATATTGGCCTGCTCCCGGAGCTCAGAGATGGTTTGCACCGTGCTGTGAATTCACAGACTCACATAATTGTCGAGATGAATCGTAAGCTTGAAACTTTGGCCGAGATTCATTCATTGGCACAAAAGATGGATGCCATCAAGGATAAAGTAGACGAATCAGCACGGATTGGGATAGATTAATGTCCATTATTGGGATTTTGAGAGGTTGAGGACCAATAAACTGTAAGACAGAGAGGAAATTATCTGTCTGGCCCCAAAACAATTTCTAATCGGAATCTGGTGCCCTTGAGCCTGCAAGGCTCCAACGAAAACTCCCCCCTCAGAAGATATGTGGAATGTGCCGTCGCTATGGCAACTCAACTCTGTCTCCTATCCCAGCCTGGTCGGGACTGCGGGATGGCCGCAGAATCGTTCCAGGGTCACTGCAACCCTCCAACCCTCAATGCTCCCCCCCTGTTCAGACTGAGGTGACATGTGCTGCTTGTATTGGCTGCAGGAACCGAAGTGTGGATAGTCCCAAACCCACCTCCCCACCTAGTGGACACCTATGTCGTGTGATGTCTGAAGTCTGTTGCATATCTGTCTGAGATTTTTTTTTGCAGAGCAAAGCTGCCCTCCCTGTGGAGGGTAACTCTGAAGTGCCTTTTTTTCCTCCACCTGAACCAATCCTCATGTAACCCCTCTGATCTCTATTAAGGTAGAGCGACTCGGGTTGTGAATGACCACAGTGACCGATTCTTGTCATGTGTCTTGCCCATGTATGTATGTCTGATCTCTGAATTGTGTGTACTGAAACTCTAATTTCCCTCTGGGATTAATAAAGTATCTTTGAATTGAATTGAATTGAATTGAATTGAATTAGACAGAGGGACCTGACGAGCAGATATAAGAAGAAAATCATGGACCATCTACAGAAAGTGCTAAAGGACAAAGTAATCGACTGTGCATTTTACTACAGACTATCCAGGAGAAGCCACCCCAAGTATACATGGTCTTCTGAAGATTCACAAGGAAGGACACACTCAGATCCATCAGCAGCATCAACTCGGTCACATACAACACTGTCAAACATCTCTCCGCCATCCTGGCCCCGCTGGTTGGAAACATCCAACATCACGTACATAATTCACATGTAGACAATTCAAGATCTCCAACCGGCCCCAGGAGAAACCAACCATCGTCTCATCTGATGTCACTTCACTCTTCACATGTTCACCCACAGACGAAGCAGTGGAAGCAGTTAGGAAACAGCTGGAACAAGATGGTTCCTTAAACGAGAGGACAAAACTGACTCCAGACCAGATCTGTACCCTCCTGGACCTCTGCCTTTCTACCACCTTCTTCAAACACAAAGACAAGTTTTACCGACAGAAACATGGACGCACCATGGGCTCCCCAGTGTCACCTATCTTCACCAACATCTACATGGGGGAATTGGAAACCAGAGCATTGAACTCCTACCAAGGAACAACACCGAGCCACTGGTTCAGGTATGTGGACGACACATGGGTCAAAATTCTCACCAAATGATAAATGACCCGCACTTGTATAGCGCCTCTCAGAGTAAGGACTCCAAAGTGCTTTACACTACAGTGTATCATTCACCCATTCACACACACATTCACACACTAGTGGGGATGAGCTACGATGTAGCCACAGCTGCCCTGGGGCGCACTGACAGAGGCGAGGCTGCCGAGCACAGGCGCAACCGGTCCCTCCGACCACCACCAGCAGGCAATTACGATTACTTCCGATTACTGGACAACCCGCTCAACCTGTTGAGCTGCTGCTGCCCCAAGGAAGAAGAAGACTTAACCGAGCACATTAATGTCCTAGACAAGAACATCAAGTTCACCAGGAGGATGTCCACAACCACCAGCTGCCCTTCTGGGACTGTGCTGTGCTAACTGAACAAGATGGAAGTCTCAGCATTGAAGTCTACAGGAAACCAACTCACTCAGACCAGTATCTGCACTTGGACTCACATCAGCCACTGGAGCACCAAATGTCAATCATCAGGACTTTACACCATCGGGCCGAGAACATTCCCACAAAGACCGAAGAAAAACACATGAAGAAAGCTCTCCAGAACTGCAGACACCCTAACTGGGCCTATGTGAAATCTACAAAGAAGTCTGGAAAAGCTTCCAAAGCAACAGCCAGCAAAGAAAAGGCCAACAGGCCCTGCCTCCAACATGCCTCCATCTAAAAGGCTAGGTTATCCAGAGTTATCTCTGTAGTTATGCTGCTATAGGCTTAGACTGCTGGAGGACACAATGACCACTTTCCACACTCGACTACTTTCTTCTACAATCTGCTCTTTAACTGTATTATTTCCTGCTAGTTCAGCTGTTAACTTTATTTTTTCTCTAAGTGTTTTTCTCCCCAGAAGAAGCTACAATGATGTTCTGCTGAGCTGTGGTGGCCTCATGGAGGGGGCCATCGTCTAGCACACTGCTGCAAACCACTTAAACATTCTCCCTCTCCTGATAATAACTTTTTACTCCCTTTGACATTGAATGTGCTACTACTAGTTTACCCGTTTAATTATAGATTCACTAGGATAAATACAATAAAGTTTATCTCTCACCAAATAGAATATTTACTAAGAAATCACAATGTAATCTGTGTGTGTGTGCGTGCGTGCGTGTGTGTGTGAGTACTGCTCTGTCTTCTCCATCCCCAGTGAGTCATGGCGGATGGCTGCTTATACTGAGCCAGGATCCTCTGGAGGTTTCTTCCTGTTAAAAGGGAGTTTTCCTCTCCACAGTCGCTACATGCTTGCTTAGTATGAGGATTGCTGTAAAGACTCTGACACTAGTCAGTGACTCGATGCAACCTGCTGGGTTCCTTATATAGGAAACTGTTTACTGATTGGCTTAATGACCTGACCTGTGTTGTTTACTGTGTGAAGGTCCTTGAGACGACTCTGGTCCTGATTTGGCGCTTTATAAATAAACTTGAATTGAAATTAAAGTTTACAGCCGGTAAACGAAACTGTCAGCAAGGTAAAAAAAAACACCTTTTGTGTTTTAAAAAAGAACCAAAAATGCAGATTAGGTGAAAGCCAGACGATAAAAGTTCGTCTTCGAGCGACTCTTAAAAGCAGCTAAAGATGGAGACAGCTTAATGTTATAAACTGTTGTTTACAAATTTAGACAAATCAGAATGTGACAAGTTTAAAGGGCATTACCAAAAACCTCAGACATCCCTCCTTTCTCTAAACACTTAGAGGTTATTTCTTGTGGACGTATTGTCCATTCAACAAAATATGATCATATAAAGTTATAAAATTATAAAGTCATTTATGAACCAGGAAAGATAACCTTTATTCAAAGAGGATAGATGAGAAGTCCTGAGTCTTCTGCAGCCTTGATGACTTCTGACATACCAGAAGAAGAAGAAAAGATCTTTTCGACAGCGCCTCTCAGATAAAAATCACGAGGCGCTTCACAAAAACAAAAAATGTAAAATATACATTTTCACCCAGTGTAAACTGAGGTTAAGACCCACATTTAATTTTTGTTAGACCTAATAACGCTCCCTCCCTCTTCCTCCTCAGGTGTGGATTCCATGTCCTCAGTGTCGGCAGAACACACCAAGACCCAAGGGGGGGGCAGCAGGTCTGGACCTGGACCTGGCTTCCTTTCTAGGAGTGAAAGCCCAGCAGACCTGCACATCCTCCTGGAGCTCTGATAGCAGGGATGGGGTGCTGGTCAGAGATGAATGCCAGAATGGAAAGCTGTGGCTTGGGAAGGAGATTGCAGAAGATGGATGGTCACATGGTGGTCTGGCTGAACCCCGGTTTCATCGCTACAGCAAATGCTGCCCAGGCTCATCCCATTGGTTGTGCTGCTGTTGGTTCTGCTGCCCCGGGTGAGGCCAACGTAGCGGGACCAAAATAAAACAAAGGGAGTGATCTGGCAGTGAAATCCATTCTGAGTGATTCGATCCAGTTCAAATACACGTCACCTTGTGACTCATTCAACTGATCAAACAGGTTGTCAGAAGATCTGACGGTTCTGAAAAACTACACTTGAACTCCGATAATACAGAGATGACCCAGATTTATATTCACCTCAGCAACTTGACCTGAAATAGCTACAAGAGATTATGTCACGTGTTTAGGTGGGTCTGAGCTTTCTTTTGAGCCACTGTTCAAAATTCACCAATGAAAACATTCTCTGACTTCATTATAGAGATTAGACAAGAGTAACCCAGGGTTAGTAGACCAGATAGCCATCCCCCCTCAGACTGCAGCCGAACAGTGTCCAATTTCAGCATTTCATTGAAGGGTCTAAAGTTTTTTAGAGGCATGATGATAGCTTCTCTGTTTATTAATAGTTGGATCAAAAGGTATATTGGTAAATTATCAAAATGGGTTCCAGATCTCCATGGCAACATTTATCACTCAGAATGTGCCGGTGCTACTTCAGAATTGGGTCTGTAATAACAACAGTGAACTTAAAGGGATATTAGGCAATTTTTTCATACTTTGAAATGATTTTCTTGACTCTTCCCAGAGTTAATGAAATGTCACTCAGACCCCACCGCCCTCTGTGACCTGATTACACATTTGCAACTTTAGAGTGACGGTCCGCTCTGTTGGGAACTGAGCTGACATACCTGGCACCGCAGCCTGGTTTCAGCACGTTTTCGATCATGAACACAATTGATTTGTTTGATTTAGTGATGAATCACTCTTGTAGACAGTAATGAAGACTGGGAGATGTTTCAGCTGTTAGATTAAGGTGTTAAAAAGACAAATGCACAGCGAGGTTTTTGTTCCACAAATGGACAGTAGGGGATGCTAAAAGTAAGCCAAAACTGTCTAGTCTCCCTTTAATGACCCAAGAATTTTAATTCTCTACAAAATTAGAAAGAAAGAATGTAAATTGATGGTGTTAAACTGAATAAAGATGACTGCAGTGTTTTTTGGTCTTAATGTGTTTAACATGTGAGAACTCATTCAGAAAGCTGCTCATGCACAAACGGCATCTGAAACTTGTATGTCACAAAATTTGTGATTTATTAAGAAAATTAATCAACTTTAAAGAGCAAGTCACCCCTACCAGATTCTTACTGAACTCCCACTTTCTGTTTGAAAAATGCAACAAATGCTGTTGCCTAGCAGACTGAGAGGGTGTAGCAGCTAAGAAATACACACACTCACGACATTGTGACATCATAGTGTACCTCTTAGCCATTAGCGACGGCAGATTGAAACTCAAATGCAGTGCTGAGTTTTTGCCTGACGACGGTGCACCGCTGACAGTTTTAGGCAGAATATTTAAATTTTAACTAAGATGCACTAAAGTGCCGAGTTATTGACTACATTTGTCTGCAGCACAATCAGACACTCATTTATATAGTTTATCAGCAAAAAAAGAGTTGATTTGGAGTGACTTGCTCTTTAAGCAAACGCTGACCCTGGTGTACACAACTTTTGGAGATGGGAAACCTGATGTTCAGCTGGTGAGATGGTGACACTTTACAGACCACGCACACAGCAGAAATGATAGACAATTTTACTATTGACCGTATCATGGATCCCAAAATAATAATAGGTAGTCTCAAAGGCTCCCATTTTCAAATACATAGAAAAATGTACATGGACATTTTCTTTTCTGTTTTAATTTCGACATTGCAAATGCAAATCTATCTGATCTTTTCCAACAAAGTGCACATCAGACAGCACGTCATTTCTTTACTGAATCTGATCATAAAATGATTATGGTAGCAAGAAAGATATCTGTGAGGGTCTATGGTCAAATGCCCTGTGTGTGTTTTTGATGAGTTCCACCCATCGACATATAAAAATATGGACGTAGCCCGCCCATTGCTTAGCTGGGGGGCAAGTAGAAGCCAAAAATGGGAGGTTCCCACCTCTGTTTTTTTTTTTGACAGTCACGCTCGGACAATCCAACAATGGGAAAAGAGGTGGAGCTGAGGGTGGGGCTGTTACGTTCAGAACAGGGTTGGAACCATCTACATATATATACTGGACAATTCCTGTCCATAGGCTTGTATTATAAGTTTTGGTAATGCTTCCTTTTACAGTCCCCTAATTACTAAGTACTCACATGGTAATTACATACATTGTGAATTAAAGTGTATTATTGTTTCTGAGTTCTTAAACAGTTATTTCCATGAAACTCAGGTTCAATTCTATTTTTTATTTTTTATTAATCATTCCCAATAAATACTGCTATATACAATATACACTTTATTACGATTATACGTTTTAATTACACAATAATACACTTTAACTTACTATGTAATTACCATGTAAGTACTGAGTACTTAAGGGACTGTAAAAGGAAGCGTTACCTAAGTTTTTAATCTGAAATGGGAGGTGACCATTTTTATTGTGTCACACGTCTCATAATGCCTAGACAATTCCATAAGAGAAAAGAGGTGGAGCTGAGGGTGGGGCTGTAAGGCTGGGATCAAATGATGACACCCGTCGAACTGAATCAATGTATCTACAAGCTAACCCAAAGCTAATGCTGAGGTGGGAGCTAAGCTAATGGAGGTAACTACCTAGCTACAACCGGAGGTAACTGAGTCAGAGATGCGCCGAGCTGCTGCTGGGGAGAACCGGGTGGAACACAGAGGTCTCCCGAGCAAAAATTCAGCGTTATGTTAAATGCACTGGGTTTTACCCTATTACATTTAAATGTCATGGTTAAACATTACATGTTAAAATGGTAGTTAGCAAGCTACTTTGATAAGCTCAGCTAGTGCAAGAGCAGCAGTGACCTAAAAATACATAAATATTATTTTACTTACCAAAAAAAATGAAGTGGAGACTCCTCGGACGCTCTATTAGTGCAATTAATGCCACAGCAAGTCATTTTGTCCAACAATTGCACAAATAATATCCAAAAGGAACGCACAAACGCTGCAACTAATGGTCTAAGGTGAGAGACTGAAAATGGCGGAACAGTTTTCAGGCGAGGCCGAGGCTCAGGCTGAGGCCTTTCCCCGGAGCTAGCTCTGTGGTCACGTGGGTCGGATGCTCATTAATTATACAGAATTTTAGGCTTTTAATACACTTAAACAGAAGAGTGAGAAAAAAAGTCACCCCCCTCAGAGTTGTCATGAGTGTAAACTAGATCATTTAAACCTAAAACATGTTTTGGAACCAGGCTGTAAACATGTTTATTTCTGCTGTGAAATTGGTATTTTTAACATGAGTCAATGAGGATTTGCTCGCTTCTGACACCAGCCCCTAGTGGATGAGGGTGGAACTGCAATTTTTGTCACTTCCTGTTTTGCTTCATTTCCAGACCCGGATTATAGAGGCTTGGTTGAGACTTAGCTAAGCTTAAGGACCTCATACGTTTTGTATTTGTATAGCCATGTAATTGTCCATATGAACTTATATCCTTTTGAACTTCTAAAGTGTGATTTTAAGCTGACACCATTTTTTGGGAAATTGAAAGGAATGAATTGCATGAACCTAGTTCCAATTTAGCATAAGTTAGGGCAAATCCAAAGTAAGTTTGCAATCGAGACACTCAAACTTAGATGACCGGTCATAACATAGAACTTGAAATAAGATTAGGAATTTAGAAATAAACCTTTATTAGATCTTTAACCCAAAGCGTGTAAGGAAAAACTTAAAAGGGTGATTCTAAAGCAAACCTCAAGTAACTGAAGCGGCATTTATCCGTTTATTGTTCGTCTTTGTTTTTTATTTGTTGTGATTAAGTTTGCCAGCTCTTCCATTTAAAGGTCAGTCTCTGACTCACCCCTCCTTCAGAACATAGAACTGGCCCAACAGTTTATTACCCTGTAATAGCATAGGTGTTACACTATGTTATATATTACATCAAAACTTTAAAGACCAATCAGATTGATCATTCATATTTACATGGAATACCACATCTTATTGGTTATTTAACAAGTATGTAGCAACATCCATCACACACACACCATAAAACATGAAACCCAAACAACCTGCATCAACACAGATCCTCTATGAAGGCTGCTCCTACTCATTAAAGAGAGAAGTTCATTACTGCTGACAGTAGTATGGCAATATTCACACTTCTGTACCATAAAATGGTTCAGTTCTAAAAATGTGTCACTTTGCGTTCTCGTCGGTTTCATGAGATCAGACTTGATTTTGAAGCTCACATGTTTATTTTGTTTACTGTTGTTTGAGGAATGTCGAGGTGATTTTAAGGCACTGCAAAGAAAATACATCTCAAAGTTAAAGTGTATTTATTACATTTACATATTTTACAAAATATTGTGGAAAAGCAGACCTTCTGTTACTTTCAGAGCTGTGAAATGAGGCAAGATGAAAAAAATACAGAACAGCTAAAATATTTTGTCCCTTGTGGATCACAAGGCATTTGAGGAGTTTGAGTCTGTGACATGTCTTTTTTCTGCTCTCCGCAATGCTCTGCCACTTGAGTGTGCAGCCAATCACAGGCTGCCGAGGCCCTCCCCTACTCTGATTCGTTGTCCGGGCTGCAGGCAAAAGGTAAAGTTCTTAGGAGCTTCAAAGAGTAGAACGATGGTGGAGCCGAGGTTAAATTCACCAACAGGCTGGCCCTTCTGTAGGACCACACCTCTGTCCAGAGACTCCATGCCTTCTTCGCCTTCAGGCCTCTTTACCTGGTCACCCAAGGAAACATAGCTGTGATCGTAGAAGGAGCCTTTCCTATAACGAGGGGTGTTGGTTTGAAGTTCCTGAGGACAAAATGAAGCATTTTAATGAAAAGTAAACAGTTATGTAAATACCCTGTACACAGCTATTTACCCCTTGATACATCTATAGACACCTGTGTACACCAATATATGCAAATATGCACTTTTAAACACCTGTATTCACATATCAAAGCAAAAGTACAGTGTCAGGTAAATATTTGTTCATTTAATAATTTCATCTATCACTATACTCATACATCATAAGACTATTATTAATGTTTAAACATTCACTTCACAAAAATGTGTAAGAACATTTTCACTTCACATTAAGAATCAACCCCTAAGTTTGTGAGTGAAGATTGATTTTCTGAGATCTTTGGTAACTCCTTTAAAACTTCTCAAATTCTGATTTGTCTAGAATTTATAAACAAAAGTTGATATCACTTCCTGATTCCTCAGTTCTCCCGCTGCCTCCTGGTTCGGTCAACTGGTGAGCAAGCATTTGGAATCATCCTCTCATTCAAAGCCTCTCCGCAACGCTTGCTCGTGATATCAGACAATGGCTCTTTTAGAGCTACAGTGATCCCTCGTTTATCGCGGTAGATGCGTTCCAGACCTGGCCGCGATAAGTGAAAATCCGCGAAGTAGGGACACCATATTTGCTGTACAGCACATTCTATTTTTGTGGGTAAAACTCAAGAAAAAATTTTTTTACTTGTTTTTTTTATAGTTTTATTACAAAAAGTGCATTTTATGATGAAATTGATGAAAAAACCAGTACTTTCTTGATATTTCGCATAGAAAAATACCGCAAATCTGCGAATTTCCCTTGAATAAGGCCCCAAAGAAAAAAATCTGCGAAGTCGTGAATCCGCGATAAACGAACCGCGAAGTAGCGAGGGATCACTGTACTAAACCCCTCAGAAACAGAACGTCCAACCTGCAGACCCTGGTTGCATCTCATGGCCGGTGAAATCTGAATTCAAAGGAAGCTACGACTCTTTGGGTTCTCATGGTCACGATGTTTGGTAAATCACCACTCGGGCTGCCTTTCTTCCGGACCGCCGAGAGCGACAGTCACACAAGGGTATTGTAGACGCTGCACAATGGTGTCAGATGGTTTTATAAATAATCTCTAGCTTATTAAACCATACAGTCAAACTGATTTTACAACCCAGACATCACGAGACCTCTAAGATTCTGCTGAAACATCTAGCCTCCATTCCAACATTTCCTTTATTATCTGTACAACCATCATTTCATTCATACTTTGTCCTGTATAATCATTAGTTTGAAAATTTAAAACATTTTATAAACTATATTCTTGACTGTCTGAATTGATGTGAAGTGTGTGTTCCCTGAATAGTCAAAGAGCCTAAAGGAATATTAAGTCAAATAATCAACGATCAATCAGATTGATATTAGATATTTGTGTGCCTGTCGTGGCGGCAATCCCCGAACCCGTTGGTGGACACCGGCGGTTAGGGATGTTGTCAAGCTGAAGAAAGAGTCCTACCAGGTCTTTCTGGCCTGTCGGACTTCGGAGGCAGCTAATGGGTACCGGCAGTCCAAGCGGAACGCGGCTCGGGTGGTCGCGGAGGGAAAAATTCAGGCGTGGGAGGAGTTCGATTAGACCGTGGAGCAAGACTTCCATATGGCTTCGAGGTGATTCTTGTCCTCCATCTGGCGCCTCAGGAGGGGAAAGCAGTGCACTGCCAACACTGTTTACAGTGGGGACGGTGTGCTACTGACCTCTACTCAGGACGTTGTGGATCGGTGGGCAGAACACTTCTTCCAGTGAGGAAGCAGAGTCTGAGAACTTTGAGTTGGGCTCTCAAATCTCTGGTGCTGAGGTCACTGAGGTGGTTAAAAAGCTTCTCTGTGGCAAGGCTCCAGGGGTGGATGAGATCCGCCCAGAGCATCCACACAGAGTTCCTTAAGGCTCTGGATGTTGTGGGGCTGTTTTGGCTGATGTGGCTCTGAAATATCGCGTGGACAACGGGGGCAGTCCCACTGCACTGGCAGACTGGAGTGGTGGTCCCCCTATTTAAAAAGGGGGACTGCAGGGTGTGTTCCAACTACGGGGGGATCACACTCCTGAGCCTTCCTGGTAAGGTCTATTCAGGGGTTCTGGAGAGGAGGGTCTGTCAGACTGTCAAACCTCTAATTCAGGAGGAACAATGTGGTTTTCGTCCAGGCCGTGGAACACTGGACCTGCTCTATACCCTTAGGGAGATCCTGGAGGGTGCGTGGGAATTTGCCCAACCAGTCTACATGTGTTTTGTGGATTTGGAGAAGGCATTTGACCGCTTCCCTCGGGGGGCCCTGTGGGGGGTACTTCAGGAGTATGGGGTACCAGGCCCTCTGATATGGGCTGTTAGGTCCCTGTATGACCGGTGTCAGAGCTTGGTCTGCATTGCCGGCAGTAAGTCTGGCTCGTTCCCAGTGAGAGCTGGACTCCGCCAAGGCTGCCCATTGTCACTGATTCTGTTCATAACCTTTATGGACAGGATTTCTAGGCGCAGCCAAGGTGTGGAGGGCATCCGTTTTGGTGGCCTGAGGATCAGGTCTCTGCTTTTTGCAGATGATGTGGTCCTGTTGGCTTCATCAGAACATGATCTTCAGCTTTCGCTGAGCCAGAAAGCCAGGCTCTCGATTTACCGGTCGATCTACGTCCCAATCCTCACCTATGGTCATGATCTTTGGGCAATGACCGAAAGAACGAGATCGCAGATACAAGCGGCCGAAATGAGTTTCCTCCGTAGGGTGGCCGGGCTCAGCCTTAGAGATAGGGTGAGGAGCTCGGACATTCGGGAGGGTCTCGGAGTAGAACCGCTGCTCCTCCGGATCGAAAGGAGCCAGTTGAGGTGGTTTGGGCATCTGGTCAGGATGCCTCCTGGACGCCTCCCTGGGGAGGTGTTTCGGGCATGTCCTGCCGGCAGGAGGCCCCCGGGTCGACCCAGGACACGTTGGAGAGGTTACATCTCCAATCTGGTCCGGGAACGCCTTGGGGTCCTGCCGGAGGAGCTGGTGGAGGTGGCCGGGAAGAGGACGGTCTGGAGCTCCCTAGTTGGGATGCTGCCCCCGCGACCCGGACCCGGATAAGCGGAGGAAGACGACGACGATTTTAAGGAATAAAAGATTTAAAAAAGGAGACATAATAAGTAACCAATACCACTGATGTGTTTTATTTCTAATTAACTTGCCTGTGTGTAATTTATTTATTCCAGATTCCGTGTTTATGCAAAAATAAGGTTTTTTCCAAATGAAAAGGCTCAACAAAACATATGTAAAGGAAAATGTGCACATTTGCCATAACTTTTCAATAATACCGAGTTTGGCCTGCGACTTTGTCCCAGTTTTTCATTTCAGCCCGGTGTGAATTTGAGTTTGACACCCCTGACTTAACGTTAAGCTCGTCTAAATGATGGAAACGTTGTTTTCTACCTCAGCGTTGTAAGTACACTGCTCACAAGAATTAAAGGAACACTTTTTTATTGGGCCGGGCATGAAATCAATTAAACCTGTCTAATAATTTCCTGGTTGATTAAGCAGCTGAGGGCATTGTTAATCACTTTCAGCTGTATTGGTGTTCATGGACTTAACGACAGGTGCACTAAAGTGGCAACAATTACAAAACCCTCGAAACAGGATTGGTTTAACATGTAGAGGTCATTTCAAGTTTCTTCCTCTTGATCTTTTTCGGCTGGTTTTCCACTCGTGCTGGTTTTGGCTCTACTGGCAGTATGAGGCGATTCCTTAACCCTACAGAAGTTGCACAGGTTGTCCAACTTCTCCAGGATGGCACATCCACACGTGCTGCAGCAAGAAGGTTTAACGTGTCTCCCTGCACAATCTCCAGAACAAGGAGGTTTCAGGAGACTGGCGGTTATTCTCGGAGAGCTGGACAGGGCCGTAGAAGGTCCCCAACCCATCAGCAGGACCGATACCTGCTCCTTTGTGCAAGGCGGAACAGGCTGAGCACTGCTCGCGCCCTACAGAATGACCTCCAGAGGGCCACTGGTGTGAATGTCTCTACCCAAACAATCAGGAACAGACTTCATGAAGATGGCTGAGGGCCCGACGTCCTGTAGTGGGCCCTGTGCTCACTGCCCAGCACCGCAGAGCTCGACTGGCATTTGCTCAAGAACACCAGAATTGGCAAGTCCGCCACTGGCGCCCTGTACGTTTTACACACGAGAGCAGGTTCACCCTGAGCACCTGTGATAGGCGTGAAAGAGTCTGGAGAAGACAAGGAGAACGTTATGCTGCCTGCAACGTCGTTCAACATGACAGGTTTGGTGGTGGGTCAGTGATGGTCTGGGGAGGCACATCCATGGAGGGGCGCACAGACCTCTACTGCCTAGAAATGGTGCTCTGACTGCCATAAGGTATCAAGATGAAATCCTTGAACCCTTTGTCAGACCCTACGCTGATGCAGCAGGTCCTGGTTTTCTCCTAATGCACGACGATGCCCGGCCTCATGTGGCAAGAGTATGCAGGCAGTACCTGGAGGATGAAGGAATTGAAACAACTGAATGGCCTTCACGATCCCCTGACTTAAACCCAATAGAACATCTGTGGGACATTATCTTTCGGTCCATTAGGCGGCACCAGGTTGCTCCTCAGACTGTACAAGAGCTCAGGGATGCCCTCACACAGATCTGGGAGGAAATGCCACAAGACACCATCCGTTGTCTCATTAGAAGCATGCCCCGACGTTGTCAAGCATGCACACAAGCTCGTGGGGGCCACACAAGATACTGAAAAGCAATTTCAGTTGCAGAAATTAAGTTTTTGAAATAATGGACTAGCCTGCCACCAGTGTTGCCAACTGTTTTTGACTGAAAGTAGCTGAAGTTCCCCCCAAAAGTCGCTAGATGTCTCCAGATATATATATGTGACTAAAAGGGAGAAAAATATAAACTATGTTGTGTTTAAGTTATTAATTAGTATGATTAAAATGGCTCAAATTACTTTGATATGTACAATAAATTCCAAAAGTATAAATAAAGTGACATTAAGACAGATATGGTGTGGTGATCCAAACAGTTCTGTTGTAGGATGTAACTCAAACCTGCTCTCCTCATTCTCACAGACATTTTCCTAAAAAGCAAAATTTTTTTTACACCTCATAGTTTCTCAACTTCTCCGTTGTGTATTCTCTCCATTGTGATAATAACGGCGCACCGAGCAAAAGGGAGCGGGTGTCTCATGGTATAACCATCCCTGTGTCACTGAAGGAAATTCAGATGAGCCACAGAGCTGCGTGTGTAAACGGGACGGTAGTTGAAACTCCCGTTGACTTTATTTGCCAAATGCAGGAAAAGCCAAAGTGTCTGACGGCTGCAGAACCAGAGATCGCAGGTTGACGCCTGCGCCATCTCTAGTAGAAGCGTGAGCCTGCAGCAGCAGCAGACGTAAGTCGAAACTGAATCGAATCGATCTAGGATATTGGCTACAACACCCATCACTACTGATTGGCTTAATGAACTGAACTGTATTGGAACGTTTACTGTGTGAAGATCCTTGAGACGACTCTGGTCGTGATTTTGCGCTAGATGAATAAACTTGAATTGAATTGAATTGAATTCCTGTACTGTTGAAACAGTGTAATGAAACCCATTAAAACAAAGTAAAACAGAACCTGTGAACATGCATAAACACCTGTTCAATAAAAAATAAATAAAGAAAAAGTTACCTGGTCGAAGTAAACCCTGATGGACCCCACATTTGTGGCTCCAACTGCAGTTAATGAAAAGAAACCGTGCTGCCATTGGCCACTGAGTACCACGCGCTCGTTAAGGCAGAAGAGCTCCTTGACCCAACGAGCAACCCCCGGGTTTACAGACATCAACGAGCCTAAAAAGGACAAAGAGGTAAAGAACCTCCAGATGACACCAAGGTGAGTCATCAACAACATACTCACCTGGGAAGTGACGTCGAAGTCCCACCTTCCAATCAGTTGGTGAGTGAAAACAGTGGTAGTCACCTGGAGCAAGGTAAACCACGACATGGAACAGGTCACTAGCAGGGGATGACATGAGGTGGTCTCGGAAAGACGAGGTAGACGAGACTGACGAAAGAAAGGCATCATCGGGTTTTAGCTCTTTCAAATCATAGTAAATTGTAATAAATCAGAATAAATCACAATGAATCAATCAATATTGTAATAAAATACAATAAGCCGACGAGCACCACACGCTCGTTAAGGCAGAAGAGCTTTTAGACCGAACCCTAAAATGAACAGGTAGCCAGCGCAGCGAGGCTATAGTGGAACCTGCATGCTCTCTCCTGGGCCTGGTACCTGTTTGATCTGACACCTGTGGACCTGACAGGAGGGTCTTTCCATCACTGCAACTCATCTGCGGGCCCAGGAAGTTCTCAAGACTGTAGGTCACCCCCTTCACCTGTTCCACCTCTGAGTTTTTTACTCTACCAAAATGCAGGATCCTCCCATCAGCTGGAGAGGTCTGGAAACAGAACCAGAAACGAAACATAACTGAACAGGTTAAAGACCAGAATAAAGCAGCTAGAATTCATAATTGTGTCTTCTCAGCAGCAGCACTGCAGGTGCTCTCCATGTCCAGAGTGCGCGTAAGCCAGGTCCTAGGTCAACTTAAAGCTGTGCACATTTTTCTGCTACGTTTTATAAATCCCAGTTTTTTTTTCCCCCCGTGTCCTGTCTGGCTGTGAAGCAAACAGAACTGATGTCTGAATGCTGGTGACAAGCCTTACAGATTTACTCTCAGGTGGAGCATCAAAGCTTCTGCTTTAATGTCACGCCTGATACTTAAAACTTTATTGTTATTGTTTATAGGAAACAATAAAGAGGAAAAAAATAATAAAATCCCAAAGTTTGCGTGGAAAGTTGCTTACGCAGTTCTCCGACCCCATAAGTTTAGAACAACATTAAAACAGATGTGTATCACAATAATAGGGGTTAAATTATGGAACAATTTAGAAGAAGAAATCAAAGTAAGTACAAATATAAATGTGTTTAAAATGAATTATAAAAAACATATTCTGAACAAGTATATAGTGGAAAATAGATGATTTATGTGGGTGTCCTTTATTCCAAGGAAAAGTAAATTGTATCAATTGTAAAAAGATGTGTTTTTTTTTTTCTTTTTTTGTTTTTTTCCATATAATTTGGTGGTTTTTGGTGACTTGTACCATTTTGTTTGTTTTAATGTAGGTTTTGTGTTAGATTTAGTAAACAAGTAAAAATTACTTGTATAAAGGGGTAGGGATATATAAGTTTCCACTTCAGCCTACTCCTTTTCAAACACAAAAGAAGGGATGATATGTATTTTTTCTGTTTGTGGTATTTTTTAAAAATTATGTATGTTTTCTTTGTTTGAAATAAACTAAACTAATAAATTTAAGCAAGCTTTATAAATGAGACCCCTGGTCCAGTCATAGAGCCAGCCTGATGCCTGTATCCCAGTTTAAGACATGAAAATGGAAATCTCATAAAAATGGGAACAAATTCAACTGAGCAGAAAACTAGAAAAATTAAATGTGGGTTATTGAACATTAGGTCTATTTTTCTAAGACTTTGTTAGTTAATGACTTGATTTGTGATAATCAGATTTCTTTGCTCTCTCTCACAGAATCCTGGCTGCAGCAAGAGGACTATGTTAGTTTATGTTACTATGTCAGTCTGGTCAGCAACCGGTAACAAGATGGCGCCTGTGCTTGGCTTAGCCGCGGTCAACGGCCACATTTTCAAACTTTTCTCCACTAACCTCCTCTTTTCCACCTTGCTCCTGTCTGCGATCGTCTTCAGTAGTGTCCCTGCTACCATCTCCTATGATCGCCAGACTCTTTTGTCATTCCGTTCATTCAAGATCGCCCAAGATGCACCGAGGACGTACCTCCCCGTTTGTTTACCTGAGTGGTGTGCTGGCCCGGAGCCAAATGATTCCTACCAGGACACCTCCAGCAATGTTTATCCTGTCCCGGGAAAACGTCGGAGGAAAAGTGGTAAACGAGCAGGAATCCAGGTGATAATAACCCCTCCTCCCTACCGGAGCCGTCAGCAGCACGTCTTGCTCGTGTAAGCTGCTGCTTGGCTCTTCCCACCAGAGACGCGAAGAGCAGGGGAGCCGCTGTCACCGACAGAGCCCGAAGTCACACGAGTGACTTCGTCAGTAAACACAAAGAGCAGGAGAAAACTACAACATGGCTCCAAAAGGTTTGTGTTTTATGTTCTGTCCGTTTTATAATCGCCAATACGGCCCTGAAAAACAAAGGAGACCACTAGCTAGGTGATAACTTCTCACGGGGCCGCACAGTTAGTAACTTTTTTTTTAAAGTAAAGCAACCGGAAGGCAGTACGTTTCTTTATTCTGAAAATCTCAACATAAAAATCACGAGGATTGCTGTAAGACACTGACACTAGTCGGTGACTCGATGCAATCTGCTGGGTTCTTCATATCCATCCATTTTCTTCCGCTTATCCAGTCGGGTTGCGGGGGACAGCAGCCTAAGTCAGGAGGCCCAGACTTCCCTCTCCCCAGCCACATGGGCCAGCTCTTCCACGGGAATCCTAAGGCGTTCCCTGACCAGGTGAGGGACACCGTCCCTCCAACATGATCTGGATCTCCCTTTAGGCTTCCTTACAGTTGGACGTGCCCGGAAAACCTCACCAGGGAGGCATGCCAGCAGGCATCCTGACCAGATGCCCGAGCCACCTCTATTGGCTTCTCTTGATGTGGAGAAGCAGCAAATCTACTCCGAGCCCCTCCCGGATGACCGAGCTTCTCACCCTATCTCTAAGGGAAGAGCCCAGCCACCCTGTGGAGAAAAGTCATTTTGGCTGCTTGTATCCGTGATCTCGTTCTTTCGGTCACCACCCAAAGCTCAGGTGAGGGTCAGGGCCACCTTAACCGACTGATAGGCCCCTGGGCAGAGAGGCTCATTAGGACCCCCACTGGGGTGGAAATATGTGTGCATTGGTGTAGGAGGTGCTCTGGATAACTGTTCTTGTTAGGTGATTGGATTGGATTTGTGTCAGTGCTTGTCCTTCCCTTTCTTTTTCTGCCCCTGAAACCCTTATTCATGCATTCATCACATCACACATCCACTAAAACAACAGCATCTTATATGGTATCCCATCCAAAACCCTCGCCAACCTTCAACACATCCAGCATCTCCTAACCCACACCTGCTCCACCACCGTGCCCCATCCCTCCCCACCTATGACCAAGCTCTGATCCTGGGGAGACGCCGCTTTCTCCATTGCTGCCCCCACCCTCTGGAACTCACTCCCACAGCCCCTCCAAAGCTGCTGACCTCTCCACCTCCACAACTCCTCTCCAGGCTCATTATAAAACAGTTTAAAGTCTGATTTTGATTGTTGCATATTCTGCTTGTTTAATCTGGAATCTTACAGCATCTCTGAGTGTTTAAGTGTTGGGTAAAAAAATTGATATTATAGCATAATTTCTTGACTGCTAAAACATCTGGTGCTCATTAAGAATGATTAAACGCAGGTTTCATCCTGTTTCCTGTTGCTAAGTCTCCACAGGGAGGACAGTGACCTTGCTTTCCAGATCAAGCTGTTCTGGTCAGACCAAGCGGGTCTGATTTATCAGTAAAACACTCCCATGGGAAGCTGTGGGAGAAACTGCTTGTTGATTTAGTGAGCATATGGAGCCGAGAACTCCCTTCACTAGCAGCTTCCCGCCTGTTTGTGTGTGTGTGTGCTTCAATAAATGCTGTCGGAGGACTTCGGTCCGATGAGTGATCTGAGATTCTCGCTTGGTGTGTATTCATTTCCTCTCCACTTTGCAAAGTCTACATTGATTGTTTATAATTGGCATTGGTGTTGATTGGTTATTGCTACAACCCCTGTGCATTAAAGAGCAAGTCACCCCCAAATAAACTTTTTTTTGCTGATAAACTATATAAACGAGTGTCTAATCGTGCTGCAGACACGTGTCGTCAATAATTTGGCACTTCAGTGCATCTTAGTTAACATTTAAATATTCTGCCTAAAACTGGCAGTGTTGTGCCGTTGTCAGGTAAAAACTCTGCACTGTATTCTAATTTAAATCTGCCACTGCTATTGGCTAAGAGGTATGCTATGATGTAAACTGGAACATTATGATGTCACAATGCTGTCGTGAGTCTGTGTGTGTGTATTTGTTAGCGGTCTGCCAGGCAACAGCATTTGTTGCATTTTTCAAACATGAAGTGGGAGTGGAGTTAGACTCTGGTAGGGGGTGACTTGCTCTTTAAATGTTCCCTAAGGTAACCCTGGATGGATAAATAATTACCTAACATTTAGAAAAGCACTTGATGAACAAAATGTGTGATTATTCTATATTATTAACCTACGAGCCGTCCTACTGTGGTCCCACCTCAAGGCTGAAGCCCCCTTTTACTGACCGGCCTAACGAGCTGACCTGCGTTGGAACGTTTACTGTGTGGATTGACTCGAGACGACTTGGAGCTATATAAACAAACTGAATTGAAAAAGAAAACAGAAACAGGTGTACCAGACAGGAGGCAGCACAAACGGGTCTGACTGCAGGTTTGAGACGTCGACGGAAGAATTCTCCCAGGTTTTTGTAATGATGCAAGTCCTCTACTGCTGCCTCCTAGTGGACGAGTAGAACAAAACACAAGTCAAAACACAGAAAACCAACAAACAGCAGAAGTGTTCTGGTTTTTGCTGGAGACCTGCATGTTGACCCCAAAAGTCCAGATGTAAAGCGAGTAGATGGGTTTACGAAGCCAGGTAGGGAGGTCCAACCCATTCAGACGTCCCCAGGCACGAGAGACGAGACGAGTCGGAAAGGACCGGTAGAGCGCCACCTACAGGAGCAAACAGAAACAACAGATCATCATCATCTTCAGTTAGAGAAAAACATCTGGGTTTCCTTAATCACTGGTTATGTGGATCAATAGGCCATAGTCCAGAGGTTCTGGATTATGGTCCCCAACGAAGACAGGAAACAGAGAGGCTGAAAACTCGAGTTAGGGAAGAAAACAGCAAGCGGAGCATCAGCCAATAAGAAGCCTGTGTTTCAGACAGCCTTACCCGATTAGCCAGCGGCCGCAGGGCATTTACTGACAAGATGAAGCCAAGGAAAGCAATTGGTCGACGATGCCAAGGGGCGGGGCGACAGACGCCATTACTGAGGATGCTCAGACGATGACGCAGAGCCAGACGAGGCACCCGGAGCCTGATTATGAAATCCAATGACATTTAACCAGAATCAGAGGGGGGGCGGAGCATTAAAGGAGGGGGAACAAAGTTGTCACCGGACAGAAACAGGAAGAACTGAAAATTCACAGAAAAAAACGGAAAAAAAACAAAACTAAATGAAAACTAAACCAAACAGGACGTGAAGACAGGTGTAAGGTGGGCGGGGCTGTGCAGAGAGTGGAGGAGGAGTCACTAAAATAGAAAAAAGGCACCAACAGTGAAGCTGAAAGTCTCTTTTTCTTCATTAGATTTCACAACTGCAGCAAACCCAAAGGTGGTAACCAGGGTTAGAGGAGCTTTAATGATGCCCCTCCCCTTAATCCGCTCCAATCCGCTCCACCTAATCACCCTCTCTCTCCAGCGCGGTCTACTCTAAAGCAGCTCACTCAGCAGATCCGTTAGATCAAGACGGGTGGACGTCAAACACACGCTGCATCACAGCTTCACTAGACCACTAACCCTAACCAACAGCATGAATAAAGCTGATGTGAGCTCTTCCCGTTTGTCGTCCTCTCCCACCTGAATCGTGCGGTTGCTCTTGTCCTCACCCCTCTTCCTCCTCCATCTCTCTCACTCTCTCCACTGGCTGCACGCCGCCGCCGCCGCCTCACCTGCCGCAGCAGGTTGCACTCCTGCTGCGTGCCGCCACCGACGCGGCCTTGGCAGCAGAACCTCACCATGAGCCGGAGTTCAGCACCGAGGCCGCTGGAGGCCGAGCCGCCCGACAACACATTGGAACAAGGAGGAAGGACAGAGAAGAAGTGTGCAGAGCCACACCACAGAAGGAGTAACAGATGGTGAGTTGTTAATGCGGACAAGCTCCACCCCGAGTGGCCTGGGACAATCCATAAACAACACAGACGGTCGAAGGAAAACAAGTCAGTAAAGATGATAAATGTCAGTCCTGTTCTGGAAAGAGAGCTGACGGCTGTCTGATAACGGCCCAGATCTATACTCCCATGGTCCCAGATAACGGACAAACGGGTCAGACACAACCAATAGGAACCTCCTGCTGACCAACCTGGTGACTGCTGCACCAATCACATCCTGACGACTATTAACAGACCAATGAGAAAGCGAGGAGTGGGGAAGTGTGACCGTCTGTGATGTCATCATCACCTTTCACCAGGTGAACCCATCAGAGACCTTTGATACGGCAGACGTGAGCTCATTTGCTGTGTGATGTCATAGGCTGACTTCACCGGGATTGGTTGATTCTTTCAGACATCATTTATGAACTCCTTTACAGGTCTCCGGCGGTAACGATGACTCATCATTAGAAAGGTACAACCCCCCAAGACGCTTTAAAACTGTACCGTAGACAAGGCCTGCTTCATCATTGTGCCACCCACCACCAGAATAAGGATAATGAAATATCTCCTGACTCATCGGGCCAACGAAGCCAAGGTCCTCCTACAGGAGACTAGGGTTGAGCATCGTGCGATTCTGAACGATGCCGATTCCAATTCCTCGTTTCGGTTCCGGTTACCATCGATTCCCAATTCTGATTCTTTCAAGACATTCCATTTTTGGTTCATTTTTTAAACACAGATAAGGTTTTTCTTTACCTTGCTGACGTTTCGTTTGCGGCTGCAAACATCCTCAGAGCTGACGCTGATGTGGCGTCACATCCTACTCCGTTTATCCGCGGGTAGCAGAGGACGTTGTCGCCCTCTGCTGCCCACTCTCCCCTCTCCGACGATGCAGTCCTATGCGCGGTCCAACATGTAGACCCCATCGTCTCTGTTCATGGTCCCACATTCACGTCTCCTTATCTCTATCGCTTCTTTTATCCATCTTTTGTATTTCTGTTGTTCGGTGTTTATGATCCTTGTGTTGTCCCAGTCCATTATGTGGTTTTCTCTTGTGCAGTGATCTGCTACGGCTGACTTCTTTATTGTACTTTCTTCTTCTTGTTTCGCTTACTCTTTTCTAGTTTTGTTAGATCTCAGTGCTGCCTTTGACACAGTTGATCACAATGTTCTTGTAGAAAGACTTGAACATGTTGTAGGGATCAAAGGAACAGCGCTAGGCTGGTTTAAATCCTACATCTCTGACAGATTTCATTTTGTAAATGTACATGACAAATCTTCTTCATATTCCAGGGTTACTTGTGGAGTACCACAGGGTTCAGTGCTTGGACCAATTCTTTTTACTATATATGCTCCCCATTGGTAAAATCATTAGACAGCATGGGATAAATAGCATGGTATTTCTGTTGTTCGGTGTTTATGATCCTTGTGTTGTCCCAGTCCATTACATGGTTTTCTCTTGTGCAGTGATCTGTTACGGCTGACTTTTTTATTGTGCTTTCTGCTTCTTGTTTTGCTGCTCTTGTGTGTTTTCGACCTGTTTCTTTCTCACACTCCTTTCTATGTTCTATTGTTCGTGTGTTGAGTCGGCGTCCGGGTTCTCCTATGTATGTTTTATTGCAGAGTTTGCATGGGATTTCGTAAACGACTCCACATTTAAGTCCAGCTGGTATCTTGTCTTTTGGGTGCACTAGTCTGTTTCTAACTGTTGTGTATGGTTTTGTTGGTGTGTTTACGTTGTGTTTTTTCATTGTTGCTCTTATTTTTTCCGTTATGCCTCTGATGTATGGTAGGGTTATCACTGGTTTTGGTTCTTTTCTTTCTGGGTTTCTGGTTCTTTGCTTTGGTTGTTCTTTTCTTTCTGTTGTTGTTTGTTGTTTTCCTTTGTTTATTGCCCATGGATAATGGATGGAAGGATGGATAAAGGAAGCTATAGAGATAAGGAGACGTGGATGTGGGACCATGAACAGAGACGGTGGAGTTTACACATTGGATCGCGCATGGGACTGCATCATCGGAGAGGGGAGAGCGGGCAGCAGAGGGCGACAACGTCCTCTGCTGCACACGGATAAAGGAGTAGGAAGTGACGCCACCATCAGCGTCAGCTCTGAGGATGTTTGCAGCCGCAAACGAAACCATCTGCAAGGTAAAGAGAAACCTTTCTGTGTTTAAAAAAGAACCAAAAATGCAATTAGAAGGCAAACACAGCAAGAATGTACAGAAGATTTTTCAAGACATTCCATGTTTTACAAGTATGGATATACCAACGTGTGTGTGTGTGTGTGTGTGTGTGTGTGTGTGTGTGTGTGTGTGTGTGTGTGTGTGTGTGTGTGTGTGTGTGTGTGTGTGTGTGTGTGTGTGTGTGTGTGTGTGTGTGTGTGTGTGTGTGTGTCCGTTTGTGTGTGTGTGTGTGTTTGTGTGTGTGTGTGCGTGTGTGTGTGTGTCCGTGTGTGTGTGTGTGTGTGTGTGAACCCCTCCCTAAACGCTGACACCAGCTCTGTCTCTAGACGAAGGGCAGCAGGAGGATTTGGGTAAGACAGGTGCAGGTGATTTTCTAACCTACCTGTCTAGATGAGGCCAGGCTGGGTGGAGCTCCCTCATCCCAGTGACCCCTCCTTTTGTAGTACTGGTAACCAAGGTAACCACCTCCTGTGACAACAAGGATGGGCAGAGGGCGGGGCCAAGACAGGACTCGACGATCTGAGAAAATGGAGCAAGGTGATTGGTTGTGGACCAACAACAATGACCAGCTGTGCAGAGACTCACCTGTGTGACGGCCACGCTGCTGACTCAGCAACAAAAACCTGAAACAAGAAAGCCAGATTTAAACATTTTTCTGCATCTGGTCCACACTGGAACTGGCCCTGTGCAAAAACTACAACACCCCCACTCTTCAGATGTACTGCACTATTCCAGACCAAGGGTCGGCCACCTTGTCCCATCAGAGAGCCGCGTCCCACAGTAAAGAAGACACTGGGAGCCGTGGCTGTCTGAGGGTGGGCCCAGGCCCATAGGCCCACCCTCAGACAGCCAAGAGCCGTTTTAACCGACCACAACAGGTGAAGGCAACCCATTCGCTCATGTACGTCCAGTTATCTTTCAACAGAAGATAATTAATTCATTAAAAGTACTAGTTGTTCCACATGTGTAATGTTTAACAAGAGGAGGCAGGGCTTTCTCAGTTCTGGCCCCAAAGCTGAGGAATGATCTTCCAATGGAGGTCAGACAAGAATCCTCACTGATGGTTTGTAAGAGTCGCTTTTACTATGTAGTGTTCCCTCAGCATGCGAGTTAGCCATACTTTAGATATGATAGTTCCATTAGATCCTGTTTTAGTGTCTTCTTTTAACATTTGTTGCTTTTATCTTAGTTTTTATTTGCCTTCGTGTATATTTGGAGGGCCCTTGCTTGGGTCTGGGTCAGTGTTGTTTTAAATTCCCTCGTTCACAGTGACAGAGATAATGGCACAGAGTGCATGGCTCTGGTGTTAAACAGATTTAATTGTTTCTCCTTACAACAATCTTCACAATAAGGCAGACCAGTTAAATGGCAGGGTTCATGTTGACCGGATAGTTCCCGTATTTATGATGGTTTGGATTTACATGAAGATTTTCATTATTCAAGCGCTCTCATGTATGTAGCCACAGCCGCCCTGGGCAGTCTGACAGTATTTGACCATTTATTTTGATGGAGAAAGAATAGAAAGAATTACTCCACACTTTCATCGTTACACACATCTCGGAGGTAGCTAAATCAGTCATGAGAAGATTCCCATCAGAACATCTGAGATGGACACTGAGCTCAGCGCAGCTCGCTGTCAGCGAGCATTTAAGGTGGACAGCGAGCTGAAGATGTGGGGAGGAGCTTGGAGTTCGTCAGTCAACGGCAGCTGAACCAGAACCATGCAGAAAGGTTCCTCTAACTGAAGCAAGTGTTTCCAAACCCCGTCTCTCAGAGAGACTTGTCACTTAGAAAATGTTCCTGATGATGAAACTTTGGCGCTTGTTCCTGTCTCCAACGTGGCGACGCATCCATGAGACTGTCTGAGGAAAAGTCCAAAAGCTCACATCCTCTTCAGCTCAGAAAGCTCCTGTAGAGACATCTGATTACACACAAGCAGGTGACCTGTACACCTGGTCTCACGTGCACCGGGTCGGACCTGTTCAGGTTCACTCTGGCAATCTTTACATTTAGAATGGGCATACAGATAAAAATGAATGCAGTAAAATAAAATAAATGTTAATTAAATATTCATTCATTATTTTACAAGCAGAGAGAGCGGCAGCGGTCCCAGAGCTGCACACGGCCCCAAAGCTACAGGTGGCCCCAGAGCTACAGGCGGCCCAAGAGCTGCGGCCCCTGAGCTACAGGCGGCCCCAGAGATACAGACGGTCCTGAGCAGCAGATGGCCCCTGAGCTACAGGCCGTCCCAGAGCTACAGGTGGTCCCAGAGCTACGGGCAGCCCCAGAGCTGCGGGCGGCCCCTGAGCTACGGGTGGCCCCAGAGCTGCGGGCGGCCCCAGAGCTACAGGCGGTCCCAGAGCTGCGGCCCCTGAGCTACAGGCGGTCCCAGAGCTACAGGTGGTCCCAGAGCTACGGCAGCCCCAGAGCTGCGGGCGGCCACTGAGCTACGGGTGGCCCCAGAGCTGCGGGCGGCCCCAGAGTTGCAGATGGCCCTGAGCTGCAGACGGCCCTGAGCTGCAGACGGCCCCAGAGCTGCGGTTGCTGACCCCTGACCTACCCCCAACTAAAAGCAGATTACATAAAACGTAGTTTGTGATTTGTCAAACTTCACGAAAGCCATGTTATGCATCTTTTGAAATCTGGCCCACACTGGAACTGGTTCTTCAAACTGGTACTAGACCAGGGGTGTCAAACTCAAACTCACACGGGGCCAAAATGAAACTCTGGGACGGAGTCGAGGGCCAAACTTCATATTTTTTGAAAAAGTGACGGCAAATTTGCACATTTTCTTTATCAACATATGTGCAATTTTGATCCTTTAAATTTGGAAACAAACATATTTCTGCATTAACACTGAATGTGGAATAACCAAATTACACACGAGCAAGTCAGTTTAAAATAAAAGGCATCAGTGGTATTCATTACTTGTGGTATAATCAGCATTTTATAAATCTATTCAGGATTTATGTTTTCTTGTTTATTCATTTTTCTTATTTTTTATTCTCCTTTTTTTCTCCTGTAATAAGTGTCATCACTGCTGTGACGTCTAGCTTTCCCCACTGAGGAACAATAAAGGGATTTTCTATTCTATTCATCTATCTGCAGCCTTTCCACTTCCTGTTTACTGTAGGTTAAATCTTTTCTCACGGGCCAACAACAAAATAAAAATATCATTTTATCTTAAATGAAAATGCAACATCT